CACCGCGGTCTCCCCGTGTTGTGTCTCCACTCTGACCGTGGCGGCGAGTTCGCCTCTGGTCGGCTTGGACAGTTCTGTCGTGCGGAGGGCATCACCCAGTCGTACACCTTGCCGGACTCGCCACAGCAGAATGGGGTTGCTGAGCGCCGCATCGGCTTGGTCATGGAGGTCGCCCGTACCTCCATGATCCATGCCGATGCCCCCCATTTTCTGTGGCCGTTCGCTGTTCGCTACGCTGCTCACCAGCTTAACCTGTGGCCACGCTCCCAGCGGCCGCAGGTTTCGCCGACCCTCCTTTGGACCGGGTCCCCCGGTGACGCGTCTGCGTTCCACGTCTGGGGCTGCCTTGCTCACGTTCGTGCCTCTGGCACGGACAAGCTCACTGCCCGCACTGTCCCCTGTGTCTTCCTCGGTTTCCCCCTAGACTCGTCTGACTGGCTTTTCTATCACCCGCCGTCTCACCGCTTCCTCCACTCTCGTGACGTTACCTTTGACAAGTCGGTCTCTTTCTACCGCCGCTTCCCTCACCGAGGTCTCCCAGTTGCCCCCCCCTGTTCCTTGCTCCCTCTCCCCTGGTAGCCCCTGCCCCTCTCCCGCCTCGTCCTACCCCGTCTGGTGTCTCTCACGTCACTCCCCTCCCGTCGGTTGTCCCCGTTGAGGAGTCTGCTGACTCTGGTGGTACCCCCGGTCTGTCCTTGCCGCGTCCCCCTTCCCCGGTGCCTCCGCCCCCACTGTCGCAGTCGCCGACCCCGCTGCAGCCGCCGCCGCCGCAGCCGTCGCCGCTGTTGCCGCCGCCGCAGCCGTCGCCGCCACTGCCGCTGCCGCTCTTGGCCCCTGGGGGTGCTGGTGTAGAGGAGGGTGTTCGTCCTGCGGCGTCTGGGGGTGCCGCTGGTGTTGGAGGGGGTTCTTGCTCTGGGGGTGTTGGTTCTTGGGGTGCTGCTGTTGAGTGTTCTGCCGACGGTCGTTCTGCCTCCCCTGGTCCGAGGGTTCCGGCCCAGCCGTCGTCGCCGCCGCAGCAGCCGTCGCCGCCGGTCTCCGCTCTCCGCCTGCTCGGCCTTCCCTCCCCGGACCGTGCGACGATGTCTCCCCCACCGCCTGCTGACCTTCCTGTCTACGGTCCTGTGTTCCCGCCGCCAGACTCGTCTCCGGCCCGTCTTCCTCCTCGTTCCCCTCCTGTATCTCCTCCGCTGTCCCCTGACCCTACACCTCCGTCTCACATTTGTGCTCGCCGTCCCTCCCGTGCTCGTCCCGTCTCTCCTGTCCTGCGCTCCCACCCTATGTTGCTCCGTTCCCACTCGTCTCGTCCTCCCCTCCTCCCGTCCCCTCCTCTTTCGTCCCTTGCTGTTGCACCTCCTCCTTTCTCTGACTACCTCCGTGTTGCTCGTCCCCTTGTCCCTCGTGTTCTTGCCTCGCTTGTTACCGACCCTTTTGTTCCTGTCTCGCGCCTTGACGCGCTTGTCGCTGCTGTCGCTGACTTCGCCTCTACCCGCCGCCTTGACTACGCTACCGCTCTGGTCTCAGACCCTGCCCGTCCTCCGTCCGTCGGGGGTGCTCCTGCCCTTGGCAGTGACGTCCTAGAGGACAGGCAGTACGAGCTTGCTTTCCTTTCCGAGGTTGCTCCCCATCTCTGCTCCATGCTGTTAGTCCCTGAGGGTGACCCAGACGCCTTCGACATCCCGACCTCTCGCACCTACGCTGAGGCCACCTCGGGACCTTGGGCCTCTCAGTGGATAGCTGCCATGGAGCAGGAGATGGCATCTTGGAGGTCCACCGGCACTTACGTCGACGCAGTTCCCCCGCCTGGGGTGAACGTAGTCGATGGTCGGTGGCTCTTCAAGGTGAAGCGCCCCCCTGGAGAGCCGCTTGTCTTCAAGGCGCGCTACGTGGCCAGAGGTTTCAGTTAGCGCGAGGGGGTTGACTTCCTCCAGACCTTCGCCCCGACACCGAAGATGACCACTCTTCGGGCGCTGCTACACGTAGCAGCACAGCGCGACTACGAGCTTCACTCCCTCGACTTCTCTACTGCCTTTCTTCAGGGCAGCCTACACGAGCAGGTCTACCTGCGCCGACCACAGGGCTTCACTGGTACCTTCCCTCCTGGGACCCAGTGGCTTCTCAGGCGCCCAGTCTACGGCCTGCGTCAGGCTCCCCACGAGTGGCACGACACGCTACGTGCCACGTTAGCAGACCTGCAGTTCTTTCCGTCCTCTGCTGACCCTTCACTGTTTGTGCGTTCCGGCCAGACTCCGTTCTACATCCTTGTCTACGTAGACGACCTGGTCTTCGCTACTGCTGACAGGGACGCACTGGCCTCTGTGAAGACTGAGCTGCTGAAGAGACACACATGCACTGACCTTGGAGAGCTGCGTCGCTATCTAGGCCTGCAAATCTCTAGGGTCAGAGCAGCACGCACCATCACTCCGACCCAGTCACACTTGGTGCGTCAGGTCCTTCAGAGGTTCGGTCTTCAGTTCTCCTCTGCACAGCCCACACCTCTACCTGTAGACCACGGGCTCTCCGCTCCTGTTCCTGCGGAGCCAGTAGAGCACAGCGGCCCCTACGCAGAACTGGTGGGTTGCCTCATGTACCTGATGACCTGCACTCGCCCAGATCTCGCATACCCTCTCAGCATCCTGGCTCGCTTTGTGGCCACTAGTAGACACCGACCACAGCACTGGTCGGCCGCTAAGAGGGTTTTGCGATATCTAGCAAGTACATCAGGCATGGGGTTAGTGTTAGGAGAACGCAGGCCAGTGGTCCTCACTGGGCACGCAGACGCTTCTTGGGCAGACGACTCTGAGACGCTCAGGTCGTCGCAGGGCTACTGTTTTAGCCTTGGTTCGGGTGCTATCTCTTGGAGATCCACTCGCTCGTCGTCGGTTGCTTAGTCGAGCTGTGAGGCTGAGATCTACGCTGGTGCCATGGCGGCACAGGAGCTCCGCTGGCTGACCTTCTTGCTCACAGACTTAAGTGAGCGGCCTAGCTCTGCCCTAGTCCTGTACGCTGACAACAGGGCCATGATACTCCTGTGTCAGGAGCCTCGACTTGAGGGCAGAGCGAAGCACATCCAGCTGCGGTACTTCCTTCTGCGCGAGCTACAGCAGCGCCGCCCGGCCCGCATAGTTCACTTGGCCTCTGGTGCCAACACTGCTGATGTCTTTACGAAGGCGCTTGCGCCTAAAGATCATCAGCGGCACTGTGTACAGCTCGGTCTAGTTCCTGTAGCCTCTCACTTGCTAGGACCTTGACTTTGTGCTGTCCTATATATATCTGTATATGTACTCAGACTGGACTTGTGTCCTCTCCCAGTGGCTGGACTAGTGGTGCCGCCCTGGTCTTGTTCTTGTTTTGCCTGTACTCCTTTTGACTGGTCTTTAGACCCTTGTCTCAGTGGCTGGACTAGTATTGCCGCCCCGAGCTGCTTGTTCAGGAATTGCCCCTATGCAGTCTAGGGGGTGTGTCAAATATATGTATAACTCATATTTGTATAGACTGTATAGGGTCACCTCTTAGAGGGTAAAACACTTTTAGGTATGTACCCTTGTTCTCTCTCTCTATCAAACACTTGTTCAGCTTTTTTCTTCTCGACAGTGCATGCCCATAGTGAGTACAATACCAAAACCACCATGTATCACTCATTCTTACTAAATTTTATTACTCTGAGAGGGTGACCGTGGCACATATTGAGAATTACCCGGAGTTATAAGTCGACCTCCAGTTACGCAATGTGCGCGATGTCGACGGTCTTAACTAAGACCATACCTTGGAGGGGAGTGGGTGTAAGGAAATGGTATTTCCTCATGATTTTTAGTCAGTATGATGCATACTGCTATAACGGGGTTGCCGCGCAGCTCTGCTACGAAATTCAAATCGTGGTCCCAAATGTGGACTTCTAACGAGCCGCATGCATTATTGTCCGCCTTGGTGTTGCATGCCTAGATTTTGGCGCTTCGCGCCAATTTTCAAACCACACGTCGCAGCTCTGCCGGGCCACGACCGTGTGCTCCTAGGCTAATTATATCCATGCTCCGTGATGTTTCGATGTTGCCTAAGTTGTATTGTTTCCTCGTTAATCAATCCTTCAACACACGCCCTTTGAGCTTTAATTACACAAATGCAGAATAGGTCGAAATTATTACGATTGATGTTCCTCTACGGCGTGTTGGTTTTCAGAGTAGTACGTATTGACTTCCATTCCTCACACTACATGGTGTCACTCAGGATTTTGCCCGTCAAATCTGACCGTCAGTACCATCTTGACACGAAGTAGCGTGACATTTTGCCGTATGTCCTCAGTCGCGATCACCTTTTTCAGCCAGTGATCAGCGTTTCAGGCTACGCAAAATGAGCTGAAGTCGCCCTCGTTACAGCGCTAATGCGAATTTACAGCGCTACAATGAGAGATCCTCTGCGTTGTGTATTCTGTCTACGGCTTTTGTGTGCTTTCTGACATCGGACGGAGAAGGCCGCTCCAGCAACCAGACCTTCCACAGGCAGGCTCAATCCTGGGAGACATGCATCAGCCAAACCTCGGCGAGGCGCACGGCCTGAAATTCCACGCCAGGTTTGTCCTCCTGCGCGGATCCGCCATTTCCGCTTTTCAGCTGCCCACCCTCGCTGAATGTCCCTCGCTGGCTTCGAGCGAAGTGCATTCGCTGCCACGGCACTGACCATCTCTCGCCTTTGATTGGCCGCACGCTTGCCTCCGCTGATGTGTCCCTGTTGTGTGGGCCATGCTGTACGCCAACGGGCTGACATCACAGAGCCAACTCCACAGGAAACCTCCATCACACTGAACCGAACTGAGACTTTCGGCAACTAGCTGTGCCGCTCTGAAACCCGTCAAAATCCCGAATCTGCCAAGGCACCACTGGTCTCCTGCTCCCTTGGATGGAGGGAGACTCCCTCGCCCCTATGGCGTCTCCTCCCATCGCCCCGCTGTTCTTTCACAGGGCAGGGCTCCACTCTCAAATTCGGCTGCTGCTTCTCGGATTCTTTCTTTCATGGCCGTAGTCATAGCATTTACACGTAGTGCATTACCTTGCGTTCGTGGTCTCCCGGAGTGCCGCCGCTGGTCCTCGTCGAACCTGTAACGAAACTCTAGTGCATTTTAGCTACAGCAACGCTGACTCACCCGCGGTCCCCTCCCCATCTTCCGGCTCGGATTGCAGACTCGTGTCTCGCGCTACGAAGGTTGTCAGGTCCTGGTCTCTGGAAGTCAGCACGTATCGTCGCTGGAAAGAGCCGTAGGCAGACTAGTTCCTGCCGATAGAATCCATTCTAGTAGGTCCGCCTCAGTCAGCTCGTCGGTTTTTTCCTGTACGGGTTGATACGTCTGCTGGGGAAAAATCGACATCTGCCAGCTATCGTCATGCGACCGTCCGCTATTTGCGGAGGCGGGCTCGCGAGCCTCCCTGTCAGTCGACCAGTGAGCCTCTCGGATGGCCCAGCAGGTAGCCGAATAACGGCCGCTGCTGCCGCGGGTCAGCTGTACGCAGATCCGTTAGGACTAGTCCCACCACGGGTCCTAACTAAGCGGCTACTATTGTTAAATAGCAGGTCTCGGAGAACCCACCATGGATTCCCGCCGAACAGGAACAAATCTAGCAGCGTCCACGTGTCAGGACGCGATAGGCTGTTCCTCCGCGTGGCAGCTCAGAGCCGGCACCTGGATTGGGTGGAGAACACCCCTGACGGTGATAATGGCCGCGGCAACCCCTATGGTGCCGATAAGCTCGATGGTGGCGATAATGTTGACCGCGGCAATCCCTATGGTGGCCGCGACATTCCTCATGGCCCTGGCAGTTCTTATGGTGGCGATAGTCGCTCTGGTACCGATGACCAGTATCGCGAGGCTTCACAGCGCGCCGATGGGAGGCCGTTGCCCGTGATACCTCACGACGTCGCCAAGGCTCTCGTGGACAGCTTGGCGAAGGCTCACGAAAGCTCTCGCGAAAGTGACGACGCAGGCGACAACGATTTCGACGAAACGGAAGGCTACGATAACGATCATGCCAAGGACCGTGATGTTGACTTTGACGGTTATGATGATGATGGTGATGGCATAACGGAGGAGAATGATGATGATGATGATGATGTTATGGCGGAGGGGAAGGGGAGAGACGCTGCGCCTGGTGAGTCGAGTGACCACCCGGCACGGTTCGAATCTCCGGTAGCAGAGTCTGCAGCTCGCCTCGGACGTCTCAGAAGCAGCGAGGAGGAATCGACGCTCAGTTCCTGGAGCTGGCCTGCTGAGTCAGTGTTTGCTGAGTCAGCTTCGACGCAAGACTCGTCATCTGTTGCTGCAGGCGGCGGCGAGGCGACGGTGCGACAGCTGGCGTTCAACGGTTGGTCGTCTGACGTGGTTCGGGTTTCCCGACCTGGACCCCTGGCTGCTCCTCGAAAGGCGTCCATCGCAAGTGAGTTGGCTGTGATGGTGGTGCTGATTACAGTCACCATCACGTGTCAGTGTCTTCCTGCACCCCTGGCTGCCCCTCGAAAGGCGTCCATCGCAAGTGAGTTGGTTGTGATGGTGACTATAACGCATGAGGGGCTTTGAGATACGAGGTGGTCTTGATACGAGCTTTGAGTTCCGCCCTCCTCCTCTTCTTCTGCCCCTCTCCTCCCCGTCTCGGCCCCCTCTCCCACCCTTCTCCCACCCTCCCCACCCCCTCTTCTGCCCCTCTCCTCCCCGTCTCGTCCCCCTCTCCACCCTCCCCACCCCCTCTTCTTCCCCTCTCCTCCTCTTCCCACTGCTCTCCCCTCACTTCCCCTCGTTTGCCCCGCCTCCCTAAGAGCCCCCTGCTCGCCTCGCTGTGCTGCTCCATGGCGCGGCTCTGCTGTAACGAGGGGCTGTGAGGGACACGGGTAAACTCTGAGACGGCTGGTCAACCCTCTGCTTCCTCGCTTCTCCCCCCTTCCTCCCTAAACCCCCCCCCCACCCCCCGCCGTCACGGCCCCTTCTGCTAGCCTCTCTGCTCGCCTCTCTGCTCTGTGGCGCTGCTCTGCTGTACAGAGTCCCTCCCCCCCCCCTCAAGAGTCCCTTCTCCTCGCTGCTCTGCTGTGCAGAGTGTCGTTGGAACGACTGATCAACCTCTGTGCAGCAGACGGCTCTGAATTCTCACCAACCTTAAGCTTTGATCCTTCCCACAGGTGTTTCTGGTACGGCTGATCAACCCTCTACTTCCTCGCTTCTCCCCCTTTCCTCCCTTATCCCCCCCCACCCCCCTCCCTCAGAGCCGCTTCTGCTCGCCCTCTGCTCTCCTCTCTGCTCTCTGGCGCTGCTCTGCTCTGCTATATAGAGGGGTAATGAACGACAGAAGTACCTCTGATACGGCGAATTAACCCTCTGCTTCTTCGCTTCTTGCCGCTTCCTCCCTAATCCATCCCCCCCCTTCCAGAGCCCCTTCTGCTCGCCTCTCTGCTCTGTGGCGCTGCTCTGCTGTACAGAGGGGCAATGAAAGACAGATGTGAGTGCGTGTGGGGATGGTGCTAATATCAGTGGAAAAATACAGAGATTTGAAACGGATGTGATTCAAAAGAAAGGGTGTGATTGAATGATGCGAAAAGGGGTGGGAAAGGCGAAAGGGCTGTATGGGGACGATATGTGCAGAAGCAGCGTGTGGGGAGTTCCCGATGTATATCCGTTTGCAGGAGCAGGTTCGTTCATGGTTCAGGAGCAAGTTCCCGATGTATGGAGGAGCAGGTTCGTTCATGGTTCAGGAGCAAGTTCTCGATATGTGCAGGAGCAGGTTCGTTGATGGTGTATGGGACGATGGTGGGAAGGAAGTGCAGAACACTTGAAATCAGCCGGCGGTTCTGATATGTGCAAGAGTTCCTGTTTTTTATGCGCCACAGAAATAGACTCCTCAGCTGGCGGTTCTGATTTGTGCAAGAGTTCGTGCCTCTTTGCTTGCGTTTGAAGCTTGCCTCTTGCTGTTTCGCTGGTTTTTTCCTATTCGCGCCCCATCCCTCACCATTTTCACCTCCTGCTCCTCATTCCCGCTCCTCATTCCCGCTCCTCATTCGCGCTCCTCATTCCCGCCCCACCTACATCCCATCCCACCTGCAGGCTTCTCCCCTCTACAATCACATCGCGATACAGTCACCACGGTCTCTGTTCATAAAGGTAACGTATCACTTCACTTATCACACGTGTTACACAATCTGGCAGCTTCACCCTAATGCGATCGCCCAAATCGTCAATCCATCAATTGGAGATTCTGGCAGCTTTTGTTGGGTATCCCCAGGATTCATTATTCTGGGGATACCATTTCTCTCCTCATTATTCTTGAGGCGCCTCAAAAATCGACTCCAGCAGATCTTGTTGGGTATCCCCAGGATTTCCTACCCTCCAATCCAATCCCTGCGAGCCCATCTGTGTTTTCGCCTGTGCAGGTGGGTCATCTCAAGTGGGTGCTAAGGAGGGGGACTTGCATGACGCGGGCACAGCAGCAGCAGGGGGGGAGGCCGCGGGGGAGAGAGGGGAGGAGCAGAGGGGAGGGGAAACAGAGGAGGTTGAGAAAGAGGTTGAGGTGAAGGAAGGGAGTGAGGGAGAGGGAGTGAGTGTGGTGGGGGAGGGGAAGGTGGAGAGGAGGGGGGGGGTGGTGTGGGACGGAGAGGGGAGGCGGTTGGCGGGAGAAAGGAGCAGAGGATAAGAGTGGTGGTGGCGCCTCACGTGAACCCAGAGCATGCTCGCATGCTGGAAGGACTCAAGGCGCTCCAGGTAATGAATGGGGTTTAGAACGTGCAGGGCAGGGTGCGCAGGTTATCAGGGAAGGGAGGAGGGAGAAAGGAGCAGAGGATAAGAGTGGTGGTGCCGCCTCATGTGAACCCGGAGCATGCTCGCATGCTGGAAGGACTCAAGGCACTCCAGGTGGGTGATTACAGGGAGTGTGGTGATTGTAAGGGGAGATGAAGATGCTGCCTTGTCTGTGCTCTGTAATGAACAGGGGAGCATGCTCGCATGCTGGAAGAACTCGACTGAAGGAGTTCCAGGTGGGTGATTATGTACAGGTGACTTCAAGGGATGCGCAGGGTGTGGCGTTTTGCAGGGAACGGAGGAGAGGATAAGAAGCCAGCGTGGCCAAACCTATGGTTTGCTCTCTCCTCCCCATTCTTCCACCAATCAGGTGATAGATGCTGACGTGGCAGCAGCAGGCATATGCACGAGGAGGGAGTTTGCCACGTGGCTCATGGCGTTCAGTGAGAGGCTTCGTCCTCCCCGACTGATAGGGTTTATCCCGCCATGTTTATAGAGGGGATATCCGAACAGGCCTATGCTGACGTGGTGCCTGATGACAAGGACTTCACTCCATTCAAGGTAACTCTCCTTCTCTTTTCTTTTACCCAGCACCTTTTGTATCACCCTCGCCCTTGTCACCCTTTCTGTTTAGCACCCGCTTCCTTGTCACTCTCTCTTTAATACCCTCTCTCGCCCTCCCTGGATCACCCTCGTCTCAACCTCTACTCCTGTTGTCTTCTCTTTTCGTCTCGCCCTCTGAAATGGTTCTCTTACTTCTGCTGTTCTCTCCGTACGTCACGCGCAGGTCTGGCTGAAGCTGGCATTCTGCCGAGCCTGTTGGGTCAGAGAGACGAGGCAGGAGGGGCAACAGTAGGGGAAGGGAGGGGGGAGGAGGAGAGTTTATTTCGGCCAGACAGGTGATTATACAGAGTGCTCTGGGGTTATTGTATCGGGTTATAGTGCAGGGCGTTTGTGAGATCTCACAGGCACCCTGCACAATCAGGCGATAGTTTCATGTGACCTGGTATCAGGTTATTGTAATCGCTGCCCTCTTCTCACCTTCTGCCCCATCCGGTTATTGTCTCTGAGTGAATTATGCCATGTCTGACCGAACCCCTCGCCCTCACTTATCCTTCCTTCCCCTCGTCCCCTTACTTCCCCTCGTTCTCTTACTTCCCCTCTTCCCCCTTCTTCCCCCTTCTCCCCCTTCTCCCCTTCCCCCTTCTTCCCCCTTCTTCCCCCTTCTTCCCCCTTCTTCCCCCTTCCCCCCTTCTTCCCCCTTCCCCCTTCCCCCTTCTCCCCCCCCCCCCCCCCCCCCCCCCCCCCTTCTTCCCCTTCTTCCCCCTTCTTCCCCCTTCTTCCCCCTTCTTCCCCCTTCTTCCCCCTTCTTCCCCCTTCTTCCCCCTTCTTCCCCCTTCTTCCCCCTTCCCCCTTCTTCCCCCTTCTTCCCCTTCTTCCCCCTTCTTCCCCCTTCTCCCCCTTCCCCCTTCCCCCTTCTTCCCCCTTCTTCCCCCTTCTCCCCCTTCTTCCCCCTTCTTCCCCCTTCTCCCCCTTCTTCCCCCTTCTCCCCCTCCCCCTTCTTCCCCCTTCTTCCCCCTTCTTCCCCCTTCTTCCCCCTTCTCCCCTTCTTCCCCCTTCTTCCCCCTCCCCCTTCTTCCCCCCCCCCTTCTCCCCTTCTTCCCCCCCCCCCTTCTTCCCCCTTCCCCCTTCTTCCCCCTTCCCCCTTCTTCCCCCTTCTCCCCCTTCTTCCCCTTCTTCCCCCTTCTTCCCCTTCTTCCCCCTTCTTCCCCTTTCCTCTTACTTCCCCTGTCCTCGGTACTTTCCCACTTCCCCTCTTTCTCTTACTCCCCCTCCCCCCCTTGTCCCCCCGTCCCCATTCCTTCTCTCCCAACAGCCCGCTGACCCGTCAGGACCTGCTGACGTGGCGCTTTGCTCTTGAGTACTCTCACCTCCCGCCGCCCGACCTTGCCGCCCTGCGCCACACATGCGGGCTGATCGACGCCGTCCGAATCTCCCCTGCCGCCCAAAGAGCCGTCTCTTTCGATCTCCTGCACCACAGGGGGGGGATGGCGCACCAACCGCAGGGGGAGGGGGAGGCGGAGGGGGAGGGGAGGGGGGAAGGACAGGGGGAGTGGCAGGGGGGAAGATGGGGAAGAGAGAGAATCGGTTGGAAGGGGAGGATAACTGAGGAAGACGGTACTGCTCCTGCTGTTTCTGCTGTTGCTGCTGCTCCTGCTGCCCCTGCTGCAAATGCTGAGTCTCTTAGAAATGTGGCGGTTATTCCTCTAGTGTTTGGGAACGTGCGACGGTTCGACCCCTTAAAGCCCGTTACGCATGCTCAGGCAGCTGCAGCGCTCACGTTCGGCCGAACCTACGAGAGGGTTGCCGAGGCTGCGGTTCAGGTGGAGGTGGCTGAGGCTCGGAAGGACGCTGACGTGGCGAGGCTGGAGGCTGAGTCGGCGAGGAGGGAAGCGACACGATTGGCTGAGGAGATGGTTAGAGTACAAGGGGAGGAGAAGGAGGGGAGGAGGAGGGAGCGGGAAGAGAGGGAGAGGGTGGAGAGGGAAAAAGAGGCGTTAAGGGAAGAGGTAGAGAGGCTAAGGGCTGAGATTGGGCGGTTCAGCAGTGGTGGTGGTGTAGGGGCGGGGGGAGAGGCAGGGGAGGAAGAAGGGGCGATAGGTGCGGACCTGGGTGCTGCATCATCCCTGCCTTTACCAGCAGCAGCTGATGTGGTAAGGTCTTGGTTTGTGAGACGAGAGAGGGGGGAATGGTCACGGCATGGTGTGCTATGCAATGCTAGTAGGCTTATGCCCGTGCACATGCTAAGTCGTCAACTCTGTCGCACTCAACTCTGTACGCTCTGTTCCTCATGTCACTCTGGGTCTCTCACACTCTGCTTTTCCCCACAATTGTCGCACACTCTAGGTTTCTCACTCTGTTTTTTACCACAAATGTCTCACACTCTGGGTCTCTCACACTCTGCTTTTCCCCACAATTGTCGCACACTCTAGGTTTCTCACACTCTGTTTTTTACCACAAATGTCTCACACTCTGGGTCTCTCACACTCTGGGTCTCTCACACTCTGCTTTTCCCCACAATTGTCGCACACTCTAGGTTTCTCACACTCCGTTTTTCCCCACAATTGTCTCACACTCTGGGTCTCTCACACTCTGTTGCTTCCACATCTATACTCTGGGCCTAACACACCTTCATAGACCCCCCCTCTCACCCCATGCACCAGCCACATGCAGCCACGGACCATGAAGCTTTCGAGGAGGAGAGGCGTGCGAGGGGGAGTGAGGTGGCAGGTGAAGGGGAGGGGGGAGCTGGCAGAGAGGGGGAGGCAGGAGGAGGAGTGGCGAGTGTGGGGGCCAGCTCTCCTAGTGGAGTGGTGGGAGCTGGAGGGACGGGCGGCAGGTGAGTTATCTAATGGTTGGTAATTGGGAGGGTTTTACCTGCTTCATTGCGGAGAGGGGGAGGCAGGAGAAGGAGCTGCCAGTGTGGGGGGCAGCTCTCGTAGTGGAGTGGTGGGAGCAGGAGGGATGGACGGCAGGTGAGTCATCCTTGGCACTCTTGCTTCGTTGCAAAGGAGGGGGGGCGGGGAGGGTGGGGGGGGGGGGAAGGAGGAGCTGCGAGTGTGGGTCCAGCGCTCATAGTGGAGTGGTGGGAGCAGATGGAGGGGCGGACGGCAGGTGAGTTATCTAATGGTTGGAAAGGTAGTTGGGAGGGTAATACCTCCCTCGAGGCAGAGAGGGGGAGGCAGGAAGAGGAGCTGCGAGTGTGGGGGCCAGCTCAACTTCGGAGTGGTGGGAGCAGAAGGAGGTGCGGACGGCAGGTGAGTCATCCTTGGAACGGGGGGGTGAGGGGGGTGCGGGTAGGGGAAGGAGGAGCTGCGAGTGTGGGGACCAGCGCTCATAGTGGAGTGGTGGGAGCAGCTGGAGGGAGGGACGGCAGGTGAGACAGTAGCTGAGGGACCGATGTTCGGATAATGCACGAGGTCGTTCAGCCAGGGAAAGAGGGAAGGGAGGGCAGCTGTGGCTGTGGGGGCCAGCTCTCATAGTGGAGTGGAGAGAGCGCATGGAGGGACGGACAGCAGGTGAGCCATGTGGGGGGGGGGTGTTCTTGCTTGGTGTGAAGGGACTGCGCTGCCAGAATTAAAGTACTACCCTCTCTTTGTACCGCTCTCCGTCTCCCATTCCCTTGCTCTCTGATCGCGTCCCCCCCCAGCATCCAGGCACCGGCTGTTCCCCCCCTGGGGGCTGGTGGGCGTTTTAGAGAATTCACAAAACCAGAGCACGTATTCTCATTCCCTTGATCTTTGAACGCGTTTCACCCCAGCATTCAGGCACCAGCGGCTCTTTCCCGGGGCTGGTGGGCGGACCGGACCTGGTCCGGCAGAGAGCACAGGAGGCACAGCATGGCATCGCCAGCAGATCCTCTTTTTGAGGCGGCTCAAAAACAGGCGCCTCAAGCACAGCACGGCATTGCCAGCAGATCCGTGACGTCTCCACTTAGTGTCGCTTTCTCGCACTCCCGTTCTTGATCCCTCCCCCTTCCCTGCTCCCTCTCCCTTCCCTGTCCCCTCTCCCGTCCTTGGCAAATTCTCTCCTCTCCCCCCTTGCAGCATCCAAGCACCGGCTACCCTCCCCCCGGGGTGGTGGGCGGACGTGGTCCAGCAGAGAGCACAGGAAGCACGGCATGGCGTCGCCAGGCAACTGCACAGGATCAAATCAGATCTGATCCATGCAGCAGAGCATTCTGCTGGCGTGGCATCCAGCCTGGCTGCCAGCGTGGCGGACGGCAGCCTCCAGCGATCGGTGCGGGAAAAGGCAGGGGAAGCTTCCAGGAAGGTGCAGGAGCTACACGACGTGGATATGGAACGGGTGGCGGGGGGATTGAAGGAAGGTGCGAGGATGGTGCGGGAGGAAGTGGCGGGGGAGGTGGCGAGGGTGGTTGGGGGAGTGAGGGAGGAAGCATCTAGAATGGTGAGGGTAGGTAAGGGGGTGATGGATAGGGGGGTGCGGGAGATAAGGGAGAAGGCCGGGTACAGGTGGGCTGCTGGGAGGGAGGGAAACCAGGGCTGCGCATCTGCTGCCGGTTCTACTGCTGGTATAAAGAAGCAGTAAGAAGGGCGTTTTGTGCGTCCTCAATGTGCGGGTCAAAAGGGAGACACAAGGGGCATTCAAGGGAGAAAGCGGTACTGTATTGATGGTGGCCTGCTGGGAAGTTGAGCAGCAATGAAGCAACTGTTCGGTTCGTTTCTACTGGATGTGCTTGCATGTAGGAAGCAAGCAGAGTGTTAGGCTGGGTTAACAGTTGGAGAAGGAGCTTTGGTGCTAAATGTGCAGCTGAATCCGTTTACTTGTAACGAGACCCTTGGTGGTTCCCTCTAAGGGGTGTCACAAGGTTTGGTATTTGCACTATAAATCCTCTTCAACTGTGAACAGAAGACAGATTATTCAAGAGCTTGGAGCACTCTTTTCAATTGCACAAAAATGGACTCTTATGACACGCACTTATGCTGCATATATAGTCGGAGAGGGCGAATAGCGCACTTCTACGATGCCAAAATTTGCATTACAACAGCTTCTTGTCCACAATACGCAATTTGAAAAGTGTAACACTTTAATTTTTTACATATTGAGAAAGCTTGCTTCTTGTTAGTGCAATTGGCATCGTTCTCATTTCACTTGGCTGAGCTGAGACATGGGTAGGGACGACCGCCACTGGCGCGCGAGCGCTAGAGAATGTCGTGCAGGAGACAACGCCGACTCAAGGGTCAGTACCTCGCGGGAGGCCGACTCTAGTTGATCGGCAGCGGGCGTGATGTACATCTCTTTCGCCTTGTCACTGCGCCATCTGTCGAGACGTTTAAAAAGCCGGTCCGCTACGCCTCCATGGGCGGCGAAAGTCGCGGCACCTTTGCGGAACGAGTGGGTGCCGAGATGCTCCGAGGCCAATGGTGTGAAATGCCTCCTTGCATCAGTTGTGTATTGTGGTGTATGATGGTGGCTTGCTGGTGACGGTGGCACCTGATGCAGTCCTGAACACTCGGATTAAGGGTCTCGGGGTGCTGGGTTCGTAGCCCGCCAAACGGAAGAGACGCTTGGTGCACCGCACAGAGCAAAGGGGTCCTGGAACAGCGGCAACTGGAATCCAAGAGCCTTGGCCTGCCTGGTCCGTTTTGGAGCACGGGATGAGCAGCCACATCACGTCGTCCTCGAACTGAATGTCCTCCCAGTTGATGGCCATACGGTCGGAGTAGTGCAAAAATCTCGCGTACATGAGGAGTGGAATGAGACATTTTCTGAAAGGTAGCTGGGTCGTCAGCGCAGATAAAGTGAGAAGCCATTGCATACACTTGGTGCAGAGAGACCGGTTCCTTGGTTCGGTTGGGTCGGAGGCATCGCCGCTTTGCAAACTCTCGAACTTGTGTCGTGAAGGGACCGGTACTAGGGCAAGATGCCCCAATTATGCGTTGTGCAAAGCCGACAACCGAGCAGGTAAGTTGGATCACCGAAAGAGTGGCCTTATTTCGAATGGCGTAGACGAGGTACAAATCGAGTGTCATGTGTGACGATGGCAGGAACGACAAGTTAACCTTGGTGCAAGGAACGAAACTGCTGCCAATATGGTTCGTAAGTTCGGATTATAGAGTCTGCACGTGTTTGTGCCATGACGGAGAGCAGTTCGCATTGCAAGGTTGGAATGAGGCCTGGTTGGTAGAAGCAGAGGGAGATGCATTAGGGGAACACGACTTGCAGAGCGAGCATGAGGCTATCAGGCAGACCGTAGCTGAAAAAGGCGCCAGTATGAGAGCCTGGCATTAGGCATTGACTACCGTGCGTTGAGTCGGATCTGAGCTTTGATGTGGCAAGCCTAGGCGGGAGGTGAGGGTTGGAGGAGCGGCCACCAGCTAGCGCCGGGCCAGTGGGGAACGACGAGAGTAAGAGATGCGCGCGTACATTGTGCATGGTGAAGGACTGCGGGGATTACTTGGGGCAGTGGGAAGGAGAAATCGTGTTCGTCCGTCCAAGAAATCTTGAAGTCGTTGATCGCTGTGGCTGTGGGGTGCGGGTATTCAGAGCAGAAACGACTCCGCTTGGCATTGCCTAGAAGGTTGAAGAGGTCTATAGAATGGGAGCCTAAGCGCCGTTCTAGAAGGTTGAACCACGGCGTCTTCAATGTGTTCGTCCGTGTGCGTGTTGAGTTCGCAAGGGGTCCATTCCATAACGATGTGGACTCGATAGGTAGTATACAGACGGATGTTCGATTTGCAAGTGAGGGTGAGATCAGGACTACATGAGCCACCCTTCTTCAAGATGAAGAAAACTCCCCGATTGTCTATGCGCACGAGCACGTCTTTGTTCTGGAGTAGGTCACAACAGTATATGTCTGCAACGCCCACAGTACCCCTTCAAGCTCGCGACGAGTGCTGGAAGTGTGTCGCTAATCGACTGGCATGTTCATGCTGGCTTCACGATTGTTGTCGGAGAATGTGTCGAGAGTGACCCCTCAGCCGTGACCGCTTGCATCGACGTGAATAATAGCGTCAAAACTGCATCACACATGAAAGGGCACTCAATTGAAGTGGTCAAACTCAGTTGGTCAGAATTCCAGCTCCCCGCAAGCGGAAGGCGACAGCAGGACTTTGCTGTTCCATGAAGAAGCGTCATTGATGGTCTGCAATAACGCGTGACTGAAAGCCCGAGCAATGGCCCCGAGTGCGAGCGTCATTGAAGCGAGCATGCCTGTAACATGCGCGACATGCCGGACAGGGACCTTGGATTGGTTGCGTTTAGCTTCCAAGAGCGACTGGACGGTAGATTGTAGGGAGTTGCGTCGTTCTGAACCCACTGAGCATTGGCCGAGTTTGGTGTCAAGTTCCAAACCAAGAAAGCGCAGATATTGGGTGGGACGAAGTTGGGATTTCTTTGCGTTGATCACCAGGCCAGCGCTACATAAATCGCCAATTAATTGGGTGCAGGTGCCCAGGGCGTCGGCTTCAGAATGACAAAGGCAGAGGATGTCGTCCACATACGGTATGACCAACACTCCCTTAATTCTCCAGCGTCGTGCAAGCTGTTTGATTAACTATGTGAAGATGAGTTGTAGCCAATCCAAACGGCAGGGAACGGAAGCAATATGAGCGTCCTTGGAATTGGAAACCCCAAAATTTCCAGCATGACGGGTGGATGTCGACGTGGTGATATCCAAACTTTAGGTCGATTGAGAACATCTCATCGCCCGCGCGCGCCAAGTCGGCAACACGAGTGAGTCCCTCGTACTTGAATTTAGGAATTTGCAGTTCCTCGTTGAATTTGCGCATATCAAGGATAAGCCGACTTTTGTCGTGCTAATCTACGACATTTAGAGGGCTGGCGCAAGTAAGCACTGCTTCTGGCACCTCCGCTGCCGCACCAGTTTGGAGGAGGTCTGTGATAGCCGACTTTGTAAATTCCGCATGAATTTTAGCTCCTCCATAGTTGGAGTTCCGAAACGGTTATGGGGGCCCATGTTTCCAGGGCATCCAATAGCCTCTGTCAATGATTGACACGATCAAGCTACTGGTGCACCACGAACGCCACCAGGTTAGCGAATTCCGCAGGCGCCCGCGCATGGTGGAGATTGTCCGGTCGGTAACGACGTATTCAAAGGGATCTCCGAGTCGTTATGGGTTGTGCACGAACGTATCTGCCATGGAAATCCAATAAAAGAGGAAAAACATGCCGTGAGCACTAAGGAAGGAGCGCTAAGTGAACCCCACGCTAACATGTTTGAGCCTATGTTGTTGTTGTTGTTGTTTTTTTTTTTTTTTTTTTTTTTTTTTTTTTTTTTTGCTTCAAGGCTAGTGCCTCAAATTATGTGGGTGCGGTGGACTAGGGCCATATCAACTTTGTGGTGGTTGCCCACCTACTGTGCCACAGCTTAACTCCTCCCGAGCATGCGCATCATTATTCGTTAGCCTGCGCAAGCTCGGGCCGTCCATATTCCCTCTTGTGTTCCCTCTCTCTCTCTCTCTCTCTCTCTCTCTCTCTCTCCTCTCTCTCTCTCTCTCTCTCTCTCTCTCTCTCTCTCTCTCTCTCTCTCTCTTTCTCTCTCTCTCTCTCTCTCTCTCTCTCTTTCTCTCTCTCTCTCTCTCTCTCTCTCTCTCTCTCTCTCTCTCTCTCTCTCTCTCTTTCTCTCTCTCTCTCTCTCTCTCTCTCTCTCTCTCTCTCTCTCTCTCCCCCTCTCTCTCTCTTTCTCTCTCTTTCTCTCTCTTTCTCTCTCTGTCTTGCTCTCTCTCTCTCTATCTTGCTCTCTCTCTCTGTCTCACCCTATCTCTCTCTCTCACCTTCTCTCTCTCTATCTCTCTCTCTCTCTCTCTCTCTCTCTCTCTCTCTCTCTCTCTCTCTCTCTCTCTCTTTCTCTCTCTATCTCTTTATCTCTCTCTCTCTCTCTCTCCCTTTCTCTCTCTCTCTCTCTCTCTCTCTCTCTCTCTCTCTCTCTCTCTCTCTCTCTCTCTCTCTCTCTCTCTCTCTCTCTCTCTCTCTCTCTCTCTCTCTCTCTCTTCCGCCCTTGCTCGTTCTCGCTTTCGCTCTTACCCTGCATGGTCCCTAACCATATTTTTCGCTTTCATTCTCATGCCCACGCGGGTGGGTAAGCTTCGCATGCCTCCAGAGGTCGCTTCGACGTAATACAAATGGCTCAAGGTTTTTGAGGGCAGGGGGTTGGTTGCATGCCTCGTATCTCACCTCATAGCCTGAGCTATGTTTGCTTGATTAACTTTGGGCGATGCCGCCTATCGGCGTGCTTGCTTTTGTTGAGACATTTTTGCATTAATCGTGAGTACTGGCGTGAGAGCCATGGTGGGCTAACAGCTTCGGGGGGGCTTTAATAATTCCCGTATAAAGAATGTGAACGCCTCGAAACAAAGGCGCGGCACCTATTGCAAGGGCCTTGGAAAAGGAGCATGCTCGTACACGTTTTCAGAAACTTTTCATACGAAAAATGTCCATGTATCTTGGTTTGCCCACAAAATGAGCTTCTAGAGTGGGCCTTACATCTTGGCCTTCCCCCCACCGGGGCTTTATCAGAACAACAACAAAAATGAGAAACGGCACCTCAAAGGGTTGCCACTACTAAGGCTCCTAGGCAAGGACTAGGTCCTTGGCTAACACCCGTCACCACCTTGGGGTTTGGCCATCGGCCTTAGTATCTACTCCCCCTTTGGGGATGGTCAGCGGCCCTACACACCAAACAGTGCCGTGGCACCTATTCCAAGGTCCACAATTAACATGATTTTACTTATCACACCACCAGTACGGGCCCTTGGGGTCCGTGCTCATTGGCTAAGCCGTTGTTAGCCGTATGGCCCGGCTGGCCACAGCGGAAACAGGCACCTCGGAAACAGGCACCTCGGAAGCCCCGTTGGTCACCGCTTGGTGGTGTGCCAAACTTCCCTCCGAAACCCATAGGGCCGTGGCCTCCAATGGGGTTTCCGCGACCATAGGCGCCTTGTGCGAATTTCATGGCCGCCACTTCCGTGACCGCTTGCTTGAAGAGGCGTGAAGTGAGAACACTCTTCTCCCGGAGCTTGAATCGATGCGCCGTCTTGAACTCGGAAGGGTCGACGACTTGAAGAAGCTCGAACCGCTTGGCGAGAAGCGCGTACGCCGCGTCGAAATATTCGACCGCGCCCGAGTTGTCGCCGTGGCGCACCTTGTGCTCTGCATGCTTCAGGTACGCACGCATGGCCTCCAGGAACTCCGCTTGTTCGCGCACCCCGGCGTTGGCGAAGGAAGAGGCGATGATGGTTGGGTTAGAGGAAGGAAGGGGTGGGAGGTGCTCGATGGGTGCGAAAAAAACATTGTGTACGGGAGCCTCACCAGCCTCGTCTTCGGAGTCACTGTCGTTGTTGGCCTGGTCTGGGGCTGCGGCGACGGCTTCCTTGACGGCGACCTTGGGGGAGCGAGTGTGGCGCGTTGACTCCTTTTTTGTTTCTTCATTTTTAGTCGAAGTAGAAATCGTAGTCGCTGCTGCTGTAACAGCGAGCGTTTGCTGCTGTAACAGCGCCAACAACGCCTGGACTTGGTCGGCGTTCAAGGCGGGGGCGGCAGGTTCTGGCGCGCTGGACGAGGCCGCCTCACGGCCTCGCTTGTTGTGACGCGAGGAGCCCCCCTGTCGGTTCGACGCTTTCTCGGCGCTGACATCAGCGGGTGACGCGCCAGCCGCCATTTGCGGCTCTTGCTGCTGGTTGCCGCGTGGCTCCAGTCACAAGACTAGCTTAGCTCGGAAGCCATAAAATGGCATGAGGTTTAGCTAGGAGCTAGGAGGAGCCATGGAAATGGCGAGAGGTTTTAGGTGCTAGGAAAGTTGAGGAGAGAAAAGAGAATCAGAATAGAAGAGAGAGGGATACAAGGAGCGGTATTGTACCCTCTACAGTAAAGTTCAGTAAGCCTACCAAGCCTACAATTATATACTAACATATATAATTTAACACACCCCCTAGGCTTAGTAGACACAAGCCCACATACACCCACACCCCCTAACCTAGCACCCCCATTCCAACCACAGTGACAGCGACACTAGCTCGGTCGACCCCTCGGCGCGTGAGGCGGCGACGTCGACCGCAGGGGCTGCGGCGGCGACGGCGGCAGCGGCGGCAGTGTCGACAGCGGCGGCGGCGGTGTGCGGCTGCGTGGCCCCGACGCAAGCGGCGACAGCGGCGGCGGCGGCGGCTTCGACAACGGCGGCGGCGGCGACGACGCCCGCACCTCTCGGTGACGTGGCCAGGCCCCGCGACGGTGGGACGGCCGGCGGGAGTCAGCCGTCGTCTGCGGAAAGGAAGAGGACACAGGGGAAAGAGGGGGGAGGGGGGGCGCCACACGCTGGCACGCGGGCAGCCGGTCTAGCGGCGCTACAGGCGTCGTGCGGCCGGCTGTAGCCCGACGGCGCCGTCACAGAGCGGCGTCGACGCCGCGGCGGGACATCGACGCTGCGACGGCAGCACGACGGCCTGTCACCACGGCAGCGCGTCGAGATGGCCGCTGCACGACGCGGCCAGCAGCATCACGACGCCGCCACTGCAGCAAAACACGGCCGCCATGGCCGCGCGAGCGAACGAGGGTGAGGAGTACGCGGCGGAAGCGTGAGGAGGCGGTCCAGCAGGGAGGACCTCCTGCTCTGATAGCATGTCACAAGACTAGCTTAGCTAGGAAGCCATAAAATGGCATGAGGTTTAGCTAGGAGCTAGGAGGAGCCATGGAAATGGCAAGAGGTTTTGGGTGCTAGGAAAGTTGAGGAGAGAAAAGAGAATCAGAATAGAAGAGAGGGATACAAGGAGGGGTGATGTACTCTCTACAGTAAAGTTCAGTAAGCTTACCAAGCCTACAATTATATACTAACATATATAATTTAACAGCTCCTTGGGGGTCAACCGGCTTGACCTCGCCACTGCGCAGCAGCAGCTCAAGGGCAGAGGGGGCAATTTCGCCCTCGTCTGCCCGACACTTGTTGCTGCGATCACCCGCAATTTCGCGGGCGTGATTGTCGGGCTCCGAAATAATATTGGCACTGGCAGAAGAATTGTTGGCGGGGGTGTTGGCAGCCATGGCAGCTAGGTTATGCTTAAGAATATCGGCGAGGAGGGTAGAGGGGGCTTGCCCGCGAGGGAGATTTTTCAACTTCGCCAGAGTGGAGGAGCGAAAAAAATAGGATGGGAACTCAATTGGACTTGAGCTGTGAAGAATGAAAAGACGTGGGTGGAGGAAGAATGACCCCCAACCACATTATATAGTCGGAGGGGCGAATAGCGCGCTTCGACGATTCCAAAATATGCATTACAAGCAGCTTCGCGTTCACAATACGCAATTTTAAAAGTGTAACACTTATTTTTTTGCATATTATGATGAAAGAAGTTAGATGAAGTCAATGACGAGTATTCGCTGGTGTTGAGAGCTTCTAGGGATGCCTGTTATTGTAAGGAGCAGCTCGATACTATGGCTGTGTGGTGGTGGTACGCCACACAATCGTCTTGATAATGGCTGTGTCGGGTACACCCTAAATGTACGGTTTTTCGTTTCGATCAAAACCACCTTTCCTCCCCCGGTTTCTCTCCCTCCCGCTGCTCCTCCCACTCTCTGCTCCCTCTCCCCCTCGCCCGCTCCTCTCTGCTGCGCCCCTCGCTGCTGGCTGCTCCATTTTCACTAGCTCTGCTTCGCCTTTCTCCCTCTCCTCCCTCGAGCTCCGCCTTGAGCCTTTCTCTTACCTCATCCCTAATTAGACTTACCCGGTCTCCCGCGGATTCAGCTGCGGTCCGGCAAAATGGTACGCGTCGCGTCACTGTGTCGTTCCTATTTCGGGCTAGCTTTATGCTGCTCATTAACGTTCCGTGAGCTGGTTTTAGGGGGTAATCAAATTTTAGGGTTAGATGTATCCGCGCTCTATGTAACTTCGTCCGCTCACACTTCATTCTGATATCGATCGATCGTCCCCAGTGCCTTAGTTTCGCCGAGGCCTTTTTCCTAGAGGCGCTCCTGCCGTTATCCCCGATGCTTGGGTTTCATTGTCCTTAGTTCCTCCCTAGGGGCTTTACTGCAATATGCGGACGCCTGAGACAAATGTCCTTTTCTTCACCGAATGTCTCTCCGTACCTCATGCCTTTTGAGTCGACTGAGAAGACGCCTGAAACATGTCACGGACTGTCTCTCCGATGCCTCTTGCTCCGTGCTTGCTTTGTTTATGATCGTGGTTTCGTAACGATACCTTCGGGTATCGTGGTTGGTTTATTATCGACTATGCGGTGCTATTATCGTTCGTTTTTTATTTCGCTATGCAGGTAGACTATTCGGTATCGTTTTGTTTTTATCACTTGCAGTAGTTTATGCGTTACCTTGCATAGTGCGATCTATACTCTCATGCGCGCGTGACGAGACGATTTTTCAGGCGCTTTAGCAGTCGATTCTCCAGGTGTTTTAGCCGGCAGAGTATATCGTATAGTACCTTGCTCGTAGTGAGGGTGGGACAGCGTGTCAATACGTGGCGTTAATTTCGTTAGGATTTGTACGCGTTAGTCAGCCTCTCACGCGTGAATTAGAAGCTGACTGGATGTCACCTCATTTTCCTTAACCTGTTTGCATTTCCCTTGGTCCCTGCAGTTGGTCCCTAAAAAGAACCGTCTGTTGGTATACAAGTACCTCTTCAATGGTGGGTCCTCCCTCTCTCCCCCCTCCCTCCTCTCCTCCCCCCCTCCCGCGTCTTCCCCTCTCCTCTCTCCCCCTTCCCCCTCCCCCCCTCTCCCGCCTTCCCGTTCCCCTTCCTATCCCTCCCGGTTGGTACACAAGTACCTGAATAATGGTGGGTTCTCCAGCCTTCCCTCTCTGCTCCGATCCGGCACTCTTGAAACGTATGGGTTCCAAGGGATTTATAACGGCAAGGTGCCATGCCTCAAGAGAAAGGGGGGGGTTGGAAGGGTGGCTGGATGCTTGTCGCCTTGACCTGAAGATCGGTCGATTTACATTGAACGGCCGTCACGGAGAGGCAGCAGAGTGGACGGTCGAGCGGAGTCGACTCAAAAGCATCGAACGGTCGTCACGGAGAGAGAGCAGAGTCGTGCAGGATTCTGCTGGCGGGGAGTAAGGAGGAGATAGTTAGGCGGAGTTAGTAGTCGACGTAACTACACTCGTATTCCGAGTCGTCTTAATTTTCGTGAGGCTCTAGGCATCGAGATTCGAGATCCATCGCGACCGTTAGGTGGGAGGCTCGAGGTTCGACATTCGAGTTCTGAGGTTCGAGTGGCGGTGTTAGGTGCGGCTCGGGGCCCTTCCGTCCGTTTGAATTGTGGCCTTTCGATTCGAGCATTGTTTTTGAAGGGGGCCTGTAAAGTCAGTGCGGCTTGTGGTCCTTCCCACGGCCGACCTGTCGATCCGTCGTAGTGCTGCGAGATTGAGACTATGTGCAGGTCGACGGCCGACCTGTCTCTGTGTTTTTTAGAATTCCCAGAAGAAGCCGGCTCACCTCAGAGACGTTTTCGTCCTCCTGACCCTCTTGCTTGTAGGAAAGGGTTGCGCCCCCTTGCCTGGCTGACGGAAACCCCTGCAGGCCGAGGAACGAGTATTGGAAGCATAGTTTTCTCGACGAGTCCATCACAGAGAGTTTAGCTGTCCCGCCTCCCGCCGCTCCCGCCCTCCCGCCCTCCCCTCCCGCCTCCGTCCCCCCCGCCCCGCCTCCTCTTCCCCCGTTCCGCGACCCTTCCCCCACTTCTTCCCCGCATTGGGTGCTCTCTTCCCCCTCTTCTCCCCCCCGCCGCAACCGCCGCGTCCCGTCCTATCTGCGGATACGCCTGCTTGAGAACTTCTTTCCTCCCCCATTGTCAGAATCTCTCCCCTCTTAACTCTCCCTCTCACGACTGTTTCCTCACCTCGCTCCATGCGTGAGGATCTTTTTTGTCCCTCATTTTTTTTTTTCCTACTTGCTAACCCGTTTCCTGACGCCGCGCTCACTGAAATGTCCAACCCATTTCAGAATCTCTCCCCTTTTTACTCTCCCTCTCACGACTGCTTCCTCACCTCGCTCCCCGCTGCCCCCCTTCCGGCCCATCCCCCCAACCCCCCCCCCCCCCTTCCCCCTCCCCCCCCCCCCTCCCCCCTCCCCCTCCCCCCTCCCCCCTCCCCCCTCCTCAGAGGGAATGCTCGTCGCCGGGAAGGGCTTCAACCTTGCGAAGCACCCCGTGCCTGCAGCCTCTTTCGTGTGCCCCGTGCCTTCTCACCCCCGTCTCTTCCCCCTTCTCCCTCCCCTCCTTCCTCTTTCGCCCCCCCCCCCCCCGGTCCCCTTCCTCATCCCCGCTACAGAGGGAGTTCTCTTCGCCGAGAAGGACTTCAACCTGCCCAAGCACCCCGAGCTCGAGGTCCCCAACCTGCAAGTGAGTGCCTTACTCTCGTGTTGTGACGAGTTTTACGCGCTGTTTCGACCCCCAGTGCCGCGTTGTACCCTCTTCTTCGACGTCCTGACACCTACGAGCTGCAACTACAGCTCTCCAGCTCTCTCTCCTCCCCCCGTTCGCCACCTCTTCGTCTCCCCCCCTGCTCCCCCCCTCGCTTTCCTTTTCTTTCTGTCCCACGCAGTCTGCTCCCGTCGCCGTCTGCTCCCTCACCGCGCTCCGTGAACACCCTCCCCTCCCCTAACCCCCTCCCCCCTCCCCCCCCCTTATCCCACCCCCCTCCCCCCAGGTGATCAAGCTGATGAAGAGCTTCAAGTCCGAGGGCTTCGTGCACGAGAGGCTTACACGCCTTGTATCCTCTTCTCCTCCCTCTTCCTCCTCCTCCCCCCTCCCCCCCCTTCCCCCTTACCCCCCCCCCCCCCCCCAGGTGATCAAGCTGATGCAGAGTTTCAAGTCCAAGGGCTTCGTGCGCGAGACGTTCGCGTGGCGGCACTACTACTGGTACCTCACCAACGAGGGCATCGAGCACCTGCGCGAGTACCTCAACCTCCCCTCCGAGATCGTCCCCGCCACCCTCAAAAAGTCCTCCCGCCCGCCCGGCCGCCCCATGGGCGTCGCTGGCGACCGCCCTCCCCGGTAAGTCAACGGTAGTCAACGCAGGTCAACGCCAGTCAATTGCGGTCAGGGGTGTTCAGCCAGGCGAACTGGGACAATTCTGTCTTATGCTTTGACCGCCAAACTTCTTTCTTTTCATATCAACATTCTCCATCCTCCCCCTTCCTCACATTCCTCCCTCGCTCTAACTGTTTCGAAGGTGGTCGGGGCTATGGTGATTGCATGGGCTACCACGTGTAAAGTGGCCCAATCCTATCTGTTAACGTTGTTGGTTGTCATATCTAATGGTTTTTCCTTCCGTCCTCCATCTCCTTCCAGCCGTTTCGAGGGCGGTCGGGGCTATGGTGACCGTGAGGGGTACCGTGGGTACGGTGCTGGTGGCGACGACAAGGCCGGGGCTCCCGGCACCTACAGGCCAGCCTACAGGGAGGTGAGTGTTCCTCCACACTTGCTCAGTATGATTTGGTGGTGGTTCTTTTGAGGCTGGGTAAATCTTGACTTGAGTAGTTGGCTTGGTTATGGGTCGCTTAGGTTTTCTAATACCAATATTTTTTCTCCGCTTCTAATTTCAGGGTGGTGGCCGTGGTGGCTTTGGCCGTGGAGCTGGCGGGTACGGTGGTGGGGACTATGGCAGCGCTCCCGGCGCTCCTGGCGCCCCTCCCGCTGTGTAAATGAGGTGTGGGCAGGGGGCTCTTGGGCCAAGCTTGAAGTGAAATCACTGCTCAAGGCTGGTTGTCTACAGTGCACAGCTGAAGAAATAGATGCCTTTGTATGGCCGTACCTACTCCTGCTCAGCTATTGTGGAAGGGGAGAGTGTCACACGCCCCTGTATGTGGTAGGATGAGGATGGGCTCCAAGTGCTGCCATTATGCTTGTGAAAGTTTTGAGGCTAATGATCTGCATTTCAAATTGTTCCAAGTAGCAAACAAATGGAGTTTCGGCCTGAAGTGAGGCATCATAGGGTTAGTGAATCATGACATTTCGTTTGGAGTAATTTCTACGTAGAAGGTTTGAACTCTTATGAGCAGCTCGATTGGGTGCCTTCGCATGGTGTGACAGTATTTTATCGAGGTGCCCGTTATCGGAGATGGCGTTGAACGCTGCTTGTGTTCGGACGAGACAAGACGCTTCGGCACTTCAGCGCAGCGTCGTTGACCAGAAGACAGTGTGCTGAACCCCGGCTCGCAGCCAATCCCAGTCGTTCCCGCGTGCACCTTGTCACAACCTCCTCGCGCCAGTGATTGAAGGCGAGGGGGGAACCAAATCAACGAGCCACAGAGCCTGACCGGTTCTGACTGCGCCGAGCCTGACCACACAGGTTTGCCAAGCCCCAGAACAGAAGCCTCGATAACAGCCGGTGCCGGAGAGGTTCGGATGTCCGGCACGTGTCCTTTTGTTCACGGCTGAGATGGATTCGCCCCTCCAGCAGGCTGGGTATGGGATTGCTCCCTTGTCGCGCGAACCTGGAACGGCTCTTCTGTCCTCCAGTGTAGCTCAGGGCGTGTCCGGGGCGTACTTTTCTCGCTCAATACCCTAAACAGTTTTTGACCATATTTTTGACCATATTTTGGGACCTTCTAACGCGGAGAGTATCTCACCCAACCGCAATCAAAAGTACGCGGGCACGCCATCATGTTTGTTCTCGTGTCCCACCCCACCCCACCTCAACAAAAGCAACAAACACCATAGCCATGGAGTTAGCTGACTGTCAGGACTAGCCAGCAGGGGGGCGACTTAGTGCTCTGGGCTTTTTATTATCCGTTTCCAAGTGTCACCGTGTGGAAGCTGCAACCTAGAATCGTCGTTGCCGCTACGGGTCGCTCCTAGGAAATAAACTTTTTGTGACCTCGTGCTCTAAAGTCACACGTCATAGCTCGCGACGCCTGCTCCTGCCAGCCCAGCACTGTCCAAAGAAACGTTTTTAGCAATCCGTTCGCAAGTATTTTAGGCGACGTAAGAGTGGCTGCAGGATCAATCAGGTCCGAGCCATGGCGTCGTCGCGACTCGCAGCAGCGATGTTCAATCGATTGGACCTCCTGACGTGCTTCGTCTTCCTGCTCGTTCTCGGCCTAACCCAGCGCTTCCACCTCCTCCCGTCGGTCCCGTTGCCCGAGGAGTTCTTATCGGACGCTATGATCCGCCCACCGGGACCGGTATTGGGTGATGAGATCGCGAGAGGGCCGCGGAGGCGACTGCTAGAAGCTCCATCGCAGGTACGATATTCTAGACGCTTCGAAACAGGTAGTCTACATTAGAAGCTTCATCCTAGGTATCCAGTATCCCAGGTATCCCAGGTATCCCAGGTATCCCAGGTATCCCAGGTATCCCAGGTATCCCAGGTATCCCAGGTATCCCAGGTATCGTATGCATAGAAGTGTCGAACAAGAATCGTATGCTGGCAGCTCTGTCACGGGTATCGCATGCTCTTCTCTAACCTTCGCTCCTCCAATCCTTCAGCGAGCCTCCCAGTGGTTGCACAACGAGTCTTGGACATAGAGGACTGGGCCTGATTCGATCCGTCCGTTTCGGGACAAGCAATTAGGAACGTTCGTTGAGTTGAGGATCGATCAGGAGTAACATGCAATTATGAACGTCCGTTCGAACGTTCGTTCATTGAGTCTAGTTCGTTGAGGATCGATCAGGACTATGTGTACTTCCGCCTGCCCGATTCTTTTCGATTCAAGTGTGTATCGTGCTCCTCGGCAGAAAGCCGTTGCATTCGTTTTTCCCTGTGCATTTTTTCCCCGGATAAGGTCGCCCAAGGAACTAGGCAGTAACCGTATTGCGCCGTTCTGTTTCTCAGTCGATCACAATCTGGTTTGACTCTGGAATTGACCGTTCACGGTGCCACGTCGATCAGGGCCGTCTTTCATTCCAGACTGGGCAAGGAAAGCGTATTCACTTGTCTAGGTGCGCTTTTAGCCGACTCAAAACACATCAGGCCCCTCTTTCGTTCCAGACTGGGCAAGGAAAGCGTATTCGCTAATCTTAGTAGTTCGGATTCGAATAATGCGCGCGTCGCCTGTCGATGCCTCGGATGCACACTCCGCTTGTTCATAATGTTCGACAATTTCTTTCGAATAAAATTGTTATTTTGCATTCTGTTCTCCCGCGGATGCGCCCGTCACGCGCAGGCGGAGGATCGCGAGGCGCAGCGGCGGATGGTGCGCGCGGCGGTGGAGCGATGGAAGAAGGAGCAGCGCGCGCGTGACAAGCGTGAGATGAACGAATCGATGCCCGACACGCAGCCGCCCAAGGGCGAGCGCTACCTGCTCGGACCGAAGATAACTGGTGAGTTGCAACTGCGGTGGTTGCCTCATGTCTCTGCTGCTGTGCCGACTCATTCGTGATGATGGAGGAAGGAGCAGCGCGCGCGACAAGCGCGTGATGAACGAATCGATGCCCGACACGCAGCCGCCCAAGGGACAGCGGTTCCTGCTCGGACCGAAGATAACGGGTGAGTCTTTTGCTACTGAGTCGCGTTTCCTGCTGGGACGTGTATTTTATCGACATTGGTAGCTGGTCGCTGTTGAGTCAACTCACCCTTCAGCCATGACCAGTCGAGACGCGGCAGGGCGAGCCGTGGGTGGCGAGGCTCGTGACGGGGTCGCATCGTTGGAGCGACTCGCCTTTCAAGCGTATTTGCAAGCATCTACTCTCCCAATTTCAACGAGGACTTTCATACAGTCGCTGCCACACAAAGTCATGGCGCTCCCTCGCTGGGCGAGCGCGGGTGAGGCTCGTGACGGGGTCGCAGCGTTGGAGCGACTCACCATTCCTCTTTCCGCCCCTCCCCGCCCCATTTCCACACACTTTCTCCCCAACCCCCTCCCTTGGTCTTTCCGCACTTCCTCTCCCCCTCACCCGTGCGCAGACTGGGACGAGCAGCGCGCGGACTACGTGCGCAAGCACCCCAGTAGCAGCGAGACGCGGCAGGGGAAGCCGCGGGTGATGGTGGTGGCGGGGTCGCTCCTACAGTCGACTCAATATTCCGCTTTTTCTCCCTTTTCTCGCCCCCCCTCTCCCCCTTCCCTCTCCCCTTGGCGCAGACTGGGACGAGCAGCGCGCAGACTACGTGCGCAAGCACCCCGGGAGCAACGAGACCCGCCAGGGGAAGCCGAAGGTGATGCTGGTGACGGGGTCGCAGCCGGGCATGTGCGACAACGACGTGGGCGACTTCCTGTTACTGAAGTCGCTCAAGAACAAGCTCGACTACTGCTCGCCCAGGGACATCCAGGTGAGATCTGGGAGCGTATGGAGATGGGGAGATATAGGGGGAAGCAGACAACGACGTGGGCGACGTCTTGTTACTGAAATCGCTGAGGAACACGCTCGACTACTGCTCGCCCAGGGACATCCAGATGCGAATTGTGACTGTATCGAGTAGAATTTCTGTTCGACGTAGAAGTTCCGCCGTCAGGTGGCGCCAGGCTGATGCTGTCTTTGCCTCCCCGCACCCCCCTTCTCCCGTCGTCCAGGATCCGTCCCCTCTCCTCGTGGCAGTAATTTCAACTTGAGGCGTCTCGAGGCGAAATGACTGACACACACGTCGTCCATCCCAGTTCTCGACCGGGCCATGGCGTCGTTTCGGGTGAAGCTTCCGTTACTTTGGAAGCTGAAGCTGTACTTGTGTCTTCTCCCGTCCTTATCCCCACCCCCACCCCCAATGGCTGACCCTTCCTCCTCTACAGCACAGCCATTCGCGACCGATCCGTGGACTCGTTCTGGATGAAGCTTCCGCTGCTGTGGGAATTGATCCTGTCTCGGCGCCCCCACGCCTCCTCCCTCACTGCAGTTCTTCCCTCCCCCCAAACCCCAACACACCCCCCCCTCCCCCCCCCCCCCCCCCTCCCCTCCCCTCCCCTCCCCTCCCCTCCCCTCGCTCTGGCCTGTAGATCTACTACAGCACGGCGATTCTGGACCGTTCGATGGACTCGTTCTGGGTGAAGCTGCCGCTGCTGAGGAAGCTGATGCTGTCGCATGCTGACGTGGAGTGGTTCTGGTGGATGGACTCGGACGCCATATTCACGGGTGAATATGCCGTTAGTCACCTGTGCATAAGCTGTTAGTCACCCATTGGACGCGTACAGGCCGCATGTCTCCACGCCATGTGCAGCAGCGTCGTGACAGCTCCTCCCCACACTTCTCCTCCTCTTTCCATCCCCCTTCGCCCCACCCCCCCCGCCCCCAACCCGCTCCCCACCAGACATGACCTTTGATGTGCCTTTTGAGACGTACGAGCCGCACACGCACATGGTGATGCATGGCTACGACTCGCTGGTCTACGGCCAGAAGGACTGGTGAGCTTCAATCCTTAACTCGCTGTGCGTTATCAAACGTGGTCCCTCATGTCAAATGCGGTACCTTATCACCCACACGCACATAGTGATGCATGCATACGGCTCCTTCAACAGCGACTGGTGAGCTCTTTACATCTGGATCTCACCTCTCTGCATCCTGGTGCCTTCTGCCATGCCATGCCATGCCATGCCATGCCATGCCATGCCGTGCTGTGCAATGTCTAAATTAAACGCCCCTTCCACCTGTCTCCTTCCATGCATACCATACCATACCATACCATACCATACCATACCATACCATACCGTACCATACCCCGCCATTCCACGTCATTTTACACCATGCCATGCCATGCCATGCACATCACAGGGCGGGGCTCAATGCAGGCATCTACCTCATCCGTAACTCACAGGTCAGCCCCCACCACCCCCACTATCACCACCCCCACCCCCACTATCACCACCACCACCACCACCAACCCATGCCCTCCTCTCCTGTTGTCACAGCATGGCTGCCTCACCGCTGCTCCTTATCGCGGTACCCATCTCCTCGGACCCTCTCTCATCCCCCTCTCTCACCCCCCTCTCTAATCCCCCTCTCTCACCCCCCTCTCTCACCCCCCTCTCTCATCCCCCTCTCACCCCCCTCTCTCACCCCCTCTCTCACCCCCTCTCTCATCCCCCCCTCTCATCCCCTCTAACCCCCCTCTCTCGCTCCCAGTGGTCGCTGGACTTCATGGACGACTTGGTGCAGTTTGGAGTCAAGGGGGTTGCGTTTTTCCTTGCCCCTGATCCCAGTACCCATTTCCTCAAACCCCCGCTCTGCCCCCCCCTCTTGTTTCCCCCCTCTCTGCTCCCCCCCTCTCTCGCTCGCAGTGGTCGCTGGACTTTATGGAGGACTTGGCGCAGTTTGGGGTGAAGGGGCCGATGAGGGATGCGGCAGGCGTGAAGCTGTTCAAGGAGCTCGAGGTAAGCTAGATCTACCACCTATTCTCTCTCAAGCTTCCTTTCCCGTGAGCTCACTGTTGATGTGTCAATGAAGGGGCCGATGAGGGGATGCGCCAGCTGTGCAGCTGTTCAAGGAGCTCGCGGTACGACTGCTGCCTAGTCTCTCTCGCCTAGGGGCGTGCTAGTGCTAGATTTCCCACCTGGTCACTCTCACCTAGGGGCGGGCTAGATTTCCCACCTAGTCACTTTTCTCTCTCACTTCCTTGCGAGCTCACCGCGACTCAATAACAGGGTTCCCGTTACGACCAGCCCTCCCCTGCTGCTGCTTTCCTCGCTCTCTCTTTCCTCTCCTGCAGACCCGGCCCATGTTTGAGGATGACGACCAGACCAAGGCGCCTTAGGGTGTGGCTGATGATGGCGTACCAGTGCCCCTCTTCGTCTCTTAACCCTCCCCTGCTGCTGCCTTCCTCGCTCCCCCCTCTCCTCTCCTGCAGACTCGTCCCATGTTTGAGGGCGACGACCAGAGCGCCATAGGGTGTGGATGATGGGGTGCCACTGCCTTCCCCTGCTTCTCTTTACTCTCTACTCCTGCTTACCTCTCTCGCTCCACCCCTTGCAGACTCGTCCCATGTTTGAGGGCGACGACCAGAGCGCCATAGGGTGTGGCTGATGATGGGGTGCCACTGCCTTCCCCTGCTTCTCTTTACTCTCTATTCCTGCTTACCTCTCTCGCTCCATCCCTTGCAGACTCGTCCCATGTTTGAGGGCGACGACCAGAGCGCCATAGGGTGTGGCTGACGATGGCGTACCAGTGCCCCTCTTCGTCTCTCTTAACCCAACCCTGCTGCTGCCTTCCTCGCTCCCCCCTCTCCTCTCCTTGCAGACTCGTCCCATGTTTGAGGGCGACGACCAGAGCGCCATAGTGTGGCTGATGGTGTACCACCCTGAGAAGTACGCCAAGCACATCTACCTCGAGAGCAAGTACCAGCTGCACTCCTTCTGGCCCACCGTCACCGGCCGGTAAGTCTCCAGGGAAGGGTGAGCCAGGGAAGGGCGAGGGTAGGGTGAACCAGGGAAGGGCGAGGGTAGGGTGAGCCAGGGAAGGGCGAGGGTAGGGTGAGCCAGGGAAGGGCGAGGGTAGGGTGAGCCAGGGAAGGGCGAGGGTAGGGTGAGCCAGGGAAGGGCGAGGGTAGGGTGATCCAAAGAAGGGCGAGGGTAGGGTGATCCAAGGAAGGGCGAGGAAAGGGTGAGGCAGTGAAGGGCGAGGGAAGGGTGAGCCAAACACATCCACCTGGAGATCAAGTACCTCCTGCACGCCTGCTGGCCCACCGTCACCCCCCAAGTCAGAGGCTACGCTCCCCTGCAAGCCTGCCAGTGGCAGTCTGCTGAAGAGACGGGAAGGGTCTAAGGGAAGGGTATTGAGCCAAGCACATCTACCTAGGGAGCAAGTAACACCTGCATGCCGTCTGGCCCTCTGCCAGTCAGCTACGAGGAGCTGAGGGACAAGTAACACCAGGGGTATGGCGACTACTGCTGGCTGGTATTTACACGCTTACCTTCCTTGCTCTTCTTCCCTGTTCTTCCCCTTCGTCTGCCTCTCCCACAAGTACCATCCTGGCTATGGTGATCACCACTGACTGCTGAACACACCCTCATGCCCCGTCACCCTTTTCTCCCCTTTTTCCTGCCCGCCCATCTCCCCCCCCCCCTCGCATTTCTCTCCTTTCCCACCTGCCAGCTACGAGGAGCTGATGGACAAGTACCACCCGGGGTACGGTGACCACCGGTGGCCACTCATCACGCACTTTGTGGGCTGCAAGCCGTGCGGCAAGATAGGCGTGATTGAGTACGAGGCGACGCAGAAATGCGTTGAGAACATGGAGAGGTGAGTGGGGCGGGAAGGGTGGAAACACGGAGCGGTCGTTTTGAGATGCGTCCGTGCCTCTTGTTGGGGCATTTGCTGTGTATTTGTTTCCCATTCCTCTTTGGTCCTGTCATACATTTGATGTTTATTTTCTCTGTCCCTCAAATCTACAGGGCCTTCAACTTTGCGGACAATCAAGTGTTACGCAAGTTTGGTTATGAGCACCTTCATTTGGATACGTTCCAAGTTGTGAAGATCAATTTCACCACGTACAAGGCATCGGAGTTTGATTCCCATCCGCTCAAATATCGGCAATTGGGCATTTGAGAAAGCAAGTTGGTGGCATGCATTTCGCATTGCACACACCTCGTTAGGTAGATAGGAAAAGTAGGAGCACATTATTTATTTCTTATGTGTTGCTATAGAGAAGGTGCTTACTGATCTGCCTAGTTTGTTGGATAAGGAAAAATTGTGCCTCATGTAGTTATGATCTTATCCATCTTGACATTCTCATTCTATACTGCAGACAAAATGCCCTGAGTTTCTGCACGAGCTTTAGTCCATCATCGCGTCAGCCAAACGGGAGTCATGTACGTTGGAGCCTCGATTCGCCAATGTCGTTAAATGGGCGGGAAACGCGGCGGCCGTCAGATTCGTCACCACCCCATGGCCACGTAGGCGCTCCATCTGCTGACTAAGCGGACCGTTCAGTTCTTCCTTGGTGGTGGCAGAGGGGCAGGATTTTCAGCTCCTTCTCGAATCGCGCTGCTGACAATTTTCAGCATTTCTCCAATTCGCCCCTGCTTCAAATGTTGGAGTACTGCACTCTGGCTTTCCTAATTCCAGTTATCCTTGCTCCACCTGCGTAGATGGTGGATTGTCAGAACCATTAGGGGACACGTGGGAAGGGACGGCGGGGTCAAGGGCCAATATCCTCGAGCGAAGCTGGCGAAATTGAATCGTGCGTCTCGTCTACGGGTGGCCTGCTTGCGAAGCTGGGACGAGAAACCCGTCGCCATTTGCCCGTCCACTACGCTCGGCATGTGATACGCACCTCTACTCCCTGCTCTTGTTCTGCCCGTGCCCTCGCTGCTCGTTAGAGCGCGTCACGTACACAGGATTACGCACCACTCGGTCCGAGATGGAATGCCCGCAGTAATAGCGCCAGTCTACTAGACTACGCAGTCTACTTAGCATGGCCCCCCGATGAGGATCTACTAGGTACTGCAGATGCTAGAAGCGGAGCAGTCTAGAAGGCATTAATTCTCGCCGTCGCACTAAATCTCCGTCTTTCGGCGATCTTCAGCCAGGCGTGTTAGAACACGGCATATTGTTTCATCGCTTGATTCACTCATGGCTGCGGCCGTCAGGTCTCGAGCCCTGAGCTGTTGGGGTCGGGGCGATGCGAGACACTGGACATTGTTACCCGTCGCAGCCGTGATTTTACTAGTAATTATTTTCGAGTCGCACCTGTCTGCAGCAGCGTCTGGACTTACGTCTGCTGAACACGCGCGAATCTCTCGCTCCCTCTCAGCCACCGCCCAAGACGTACCCGTTATTAACAACTCCGCTACCCCGTCCTGGCCTCCCACAGCGCTCGCAAGCACGCCGCTTTTCCCCTCGATCTTCCGCGCGTTTGCTCACTTCTCCTTCGAGACGTCTCGGTTCGCTCCACTAGCTATGTCGATCAGTGACATGGCGGAAACAGCAGCGGTCAATTCGCGGGAGACGGCGGCGGGGGTACCCAGTGCGGGGGTACCCGGGGCGGGGGAACCGGGGGCTGGAGCTGCTCCGAACGAGAAGGCTCAAAAGATGACGAAAAAGACGGAGGGGTCTGAATCTGTTTCAGGGGAGTTAGTCTATCCCTATTCGACAAATGCCCAAGTTCGTCTCGACGGACAGTCAGAAAACCCGTTGGCGGCTCTATCTCCCACCAATCCCGCTCTCTTCCCCACCATAGAATCTCACTTCGCGATTCTCAGCGGCACGTCGCCCTCCACGATTGCGACACGTGGACTGATTGACGACCCGGAGGAGCCGTCACCACCGGCGGCGGGTGCCCGTAGGCGTGGCGGCAAGTCGAGCGCGCTTCCGTACTTCGCCTTCCTCGCTACCGCCGGCCTATCGTCGCTCATAAAGCCGCGCCACGAGTCCACTTCCTCCGCGCCATCCGCCGCGTCCGCATCATCCGCCGCATCAGTGTCGTCTGCGTCGTCCGCGGCATCCGCGGCATCCGCACCGCCTGGTGCGCAGAAGCCCGCTGGCGGACCTCCTAACGCTTCCGCTCCTCCGCCTGCGCCCAACACTCCGCCCAAGCCCACACCTTCCACGCTCAAACCTTCCGCGCCCCAACCTTCCGCGCCCAAACCTTCCGCGCCCACACCTTCCGCGCCCACACCTTCCGCGCCCAAACCTTCCGCGCCCAAGTCTTCCACGCCCGCCAGTTCTCCCCCCGTTCCTACTGGCGTTGGTGGCTCAAAGGGGAATGTGACAAAAACGGATGCCAGCGGGGGAGCTACCAGCGGGGGAGCAATCAGTGGGGGAACAAACAGCGGCGGAGCAGCAAGCGGGGGAGCAACCAGCGGCGGAACAACAGGCGGGGTAACAGCCAGCGGGGGAACAACCAGCAGGGGAGCAGCAAGCGGGGCAGTAACCAGCGGGGGAGCAAGCAGTGGGGGTGCGGGTGCAGGAGGCGCTGGCATGGCGGTGCGCGGAGACAGCAGCAACAGTAACAATGACAGTAACAGCAGCAGTAGCAGTAACAGTAGCAGCAGCAGCAGTAACAGTAACAGTAGCAGTAGCAGCAGCAGCAGCAGCAGTAACAGTAACAGTAGCAGTAGCAGCAGCAGCAGCAGTAACAGTAACAGTAGTAGAAGCAACAGCAACAGTAACAGTAGCAGCAGCAGCAGCAGAAGTGCCAGCAGCATCGCGAGTAGTAACAGCCAGAGCAGCAGAGACAGTGCAGCCAGCCAGAGCAGCCAGAATAGTAAGAGCAGCCAGAACAGTCAAAGCAGCCAGAGCAGTCAAACAAGTCTGACAAGTCAAAGCAGTCAGAGCAGCCAGAGCAGCCAAAAGAGTCAGAATGGCAGCAGCAACGCAGCTGGCAACTCAGCAGCTGCAGGTAACGGCCCTACTGGTACAACCAACAACATAGCCGGCTCAACTGTCCCAGACAACACAACAGCCAATGCAACAGCCAATGCAACAGCCGGTGCAACGCCCAACGCAACAGCCAGCAGCAGCAGCCCCGGAAAGCCTATTGTTGGGACCCCCACCCTCCCCAATGCCACCGTGTCTGGAGGGGTCCCTCCCATCCCTCCTCTTATCACCACCAACACTAGCATCGCCAACAGCAGCAGTGGCGGTGTCAGTGGCAGCAACAACAGCAGCAGTAGCAGCAGCAGCAACAACAACAGCACCATCAGCATCAGCAGCAGCATCGGCATCAACAACAGCAGCGGGTTCGGCGTGGGCCCTTGGGATTACCGAGCAGCAGCCACTTTCTACGGCGAGCCAGACGCCACAGGCACCATGGGAGGCGCATGCGGTTACGGTAACCTCTACAACACTGGTTATGGCCTCATGACAGCAGCAGCATCTATTGGTATTTTCAATAACGGGTTGCTCTGCGGGGCATGTTACGAAGTGGAGTGTCTCGGGTCACCAGCTGTGCCGCCCGGTTTCCGCGTGTGCTCGGGAAAGCGCGTGATTATAACGATTACAAATCTGTGCCCGCCCGGTGGCACCGGCGTGTGTAACGCTCCGCATCGGCACTTGGATATGAGTGAGCCAGCCTGGCAGGTGCTTTCCCCGATCCGAGGCGCGGGGATCCTTAAAACGCGTATGAGGCGCGTTCCCTGCAAGAAAAAAGGCGGGATAATCTTCTTAATGACCGGAAACCCTTACTATTTGCAAGTTCTGGTGTATAATGTGGCGGGAGTCGGGAGTATAACAGGATTCGAAGTGGACGACGGGAGTGGGGTGGGGTGGGAAAGGTTCAGGCACAACTGGGGGGGGTACTACTCCAATAGCAAGAAATACGGAGGAAGATCCTTATCCTTCAGAGTCACTGCAAGCAACGGAGAGGTGCTGACGGTGCGAAACGCTACTCCTGCTGATTGGTCGCTCGGTGTGGCGTATCAAAGCAGGCTCAATTTCAAAGCCAAGCCTAGGGTTCGACCCCCACCACCGCCGCCAATGCTGCCTCAACCGTCACCACCACCGTTGCCAGTGTCAGAACCAGTGGTGCCACCACCAGCAGCAGGAACCGCTGCAGCAGCAGCAGCACCAGCAGCAGCCACAACAGCACCAGCAGGAGCAGCTGCCGTATCTAGTAGTGTGACGGTCCCTCCTGGCCAGGTGCCTGGCCAGCCGAGGGAGTTCACACCGCTAGTTGGACCATCAACCAGAGCGGGGTTACAGGCGCCAGTGTATGCAGGAACGCGCGATAAGCTAGATCCGAAGCAACCTTCAAGTGGTAGAATAACACTAGATGATGACCCATTGTTCAGCAGTTACATTGAAGTTACAGTGGGGCTGCATGAATGAGCCGGTATATTTGTATATTAATCTGTTATTTGTATATCTCCCAATGATGCATTCCTAAGAACTTCTCTAGAAATATAAATCGAATAAAGCTCGAGGACATGCTAGTTTCCTTCAGTGTAAGTGCGTTAGCAAACTCCAAGTGCACATTATCTACACCTCCTAACGGAAAGTTGATTTGGGTTGGGAATCGGTCCATTCATTGCTCTGGTTTGTCCACCTCCACAACTGGGGTAGGCGTTTCCCGTGGTCAAGAACGGGCACAACTGCATTTGTTCGATTGCCCGAACTTTCCAATCAACGGAGCCCAGTTTCCAACATTTCGGGCTGGATGCTTGCTTGGTGAATTCCGTTGACTTTCCGCGCTTCCGAACGAACGTGTGGTTGGCTAGAACATGGTCGCCCTAAGCTGGAGCGCGGATGATGTGGCTAGCAAGCCCGCCCTCTAAATGTCCCCTTCCATGACTTCGCGGCCCGTATTCGAGCCGCGCATTTCTCAAATTGGACAGATCTCCGAGCCGCATGCGTCTTTGTCAGCAGACACCCGATTCCTCGCAACGTCTAGGAGGGGAATGAAATTTGAAGCGGGTTTGTGAATTTCGTAGATGCCTCCCATTTCGAGCTGTCTAGCCCTCCCGTATTCGTAATCGACATTTTGAAGTGCGATAGGCGCACACTTGAACCCGCTCTCCCATACGGGCATTAGAGAAGGAAACAGATGAGTGGTTATGGTTACGTGCTGGACCTTCCTCAGAAGCAAGCTATGAGTGCCCTTCCTTCACGCGATACTTATATTCCTCCCCGTCGGAAATTCCATCACAACTTCTAGGGCCGAATTCGCGGTCGTTTTCCGTAGTTCTGTTTTGGCCTCCCGTTGCTCAGTAGAACCGCCACACCACAGTCGTGACTCCTCGTTTTATTCCTACAAGCGACTACCAATTACCGCGCTGACCTTTTCTCCCCGCATCACAAGTAGTACACTCAGTGACCATGAGTCCCCACACAAGTTTGCCCATCCCTAGTAGGCTCCCTAGCAGGCATGCGTCCCTCCTAATCGTCCTCCCTCTTCAAGCAGTCTTCCTAGCGTTACTCGCCGTCGCGCCTTGCGACGCGCACGTGCAGGTCACTCCACCTGACCAAGTCCCCGTGATGACCCAGAAGGACCTCCTTAAAGTAATTTCCAAAACGGAGTTGAAAGAAATCGAGGCGCAGATCCAGTCCGCCCTCGCTAATTTCACAACGGACGGGGTAAACTCGACGCGGAAAAAGGGGGGCCACAAGCGCAAGAGCGGCAAGAGCAAGGGACACCGATCCGGCAATAAAGGAAGAACCCACGGCAAGGGAAGCTCGTCAACAGTTCCAGATATTGGCACGGTCTTGGGTTACGATGGCAACAACGAATCTGGTAACGGAGTGAACGAGATTGTAACGCTGCCCACTGGGCCCGGCAGCAACGGCCCCGTTAAAGGCATGGCGCGCGCCCAGAGCGTTCTGCTCCAGCTTTCTTATATCGAAGCGACGCTCGGTACGGCGTCGAGGCGCGCGGAGGAGACGAGCTCGTGCGGAAAGCTACTGTATCGGGCGCACTTCCAGATTCCAAAAGCGATCGACTTAGCCGAAAAAGGCGCGCTCGTCAAAGCGGGCTGGAAAATCGCGTTCGCGCGGTCGCTTCTCGAGGAGTGCCTTAGCGCGGATCCGCACTCGGCGGTGGCGGAGCTCGCGGAGGCGGCGCGGACGGCGACAAACCTTGTGATGCCGGATCTGAAGAAGAACGACAACGCCAACTGGCAGCGGCTGCAGTGGCTCAAGGATCGCGAGGTGGATCCGATCGACACCAACGGCGAAGCTGAGCCGTTGGATCCGCTGGAGATCGACTACTGCGAGAAGTTCTCGGAAGTGAACGGCAACGATGCGAAGATTCGGGTCGACACGACGACCCCTTGCCGTAAGTCGCGGGTCTCGGGTGGTTTCTGTGGGAATAGACTAAGGGTGGGATTGGGTAAGCATAGGGGATTGATGGCGTCTAGTTTTGAGGCGCCTCAAAACTAAGGGTGGGATTGGGTAAAGGATAGGGGATTGATGGCGTCTAGTTTTGAGGCGCCTCAAAACTAAGGGTGGGATTGGGTAAAGGATAGGGGATTGATGGCGTCTAGTTTTGAGGCGCCTCAAAACTAAGGATAGGGGATTGATGGCGCACGAAACATCATGGAAGAAGGAAAGAATCAATCGGAGAGGCGCACTTAAGAATACGCAAGGAACGCAAGAATACGCAAGGAGCAAGGACTGGTTTTACAGCCCGCGAGTTCCCACGCTACGTTCCCCAACTCAAGCGCTGATTGGCCGTTCCTCCCACCTCAACAGGCGGCAGCCGCGTGCGGTCAGACGTGCAGTACCCGTCGGGCATCTTCAGCGCGCGCATCAAGTGCCCCAAGGGCGACATCAGCGGCTTGGTGCAATCCTACTATGTACGTCCTCACTGACAGGGCTAGGCTCGAAGGTAGTGCTGGTGTACCACCCCCTCCCCACCCTCCTGTGGTGCTCGTACCACTGCTCGTGCAGCCTTCCCCTCCCACCTCCTCCCCACACTCCTGTATTTTGGTTCTGAATGGAAAACACGCAAGGCAAACTCAGGCACTTCATTTCCTTCAAACGTCTCCTAGGTCTCTCCCCACGCTCCTCGCCTTGCTACCCCCCCTTTTGGGTGATTTTTTTGAGTCGACTAAAAAATCATTTTGGTTCTGAATGGACGACACGCAAGTCAAATTCAGACACTTCATTTCTTTCAATCGTCTCCTAGGTCTCTCCCCACGCTCCTCGCCTTACCTTCCCCCCTTCTTCAACCTTCTAATCCTCCCGCTTCCCAATCCCGCGACCTCCCGACGTCACTCTCCCCCCTCGCAGTTGTCCTCGTTAGAAGGCAGTCGCGATCAGGACGAGATCGACTTCGAGTTCTTAGGAAAAGACAAGTGGCAGGTGCAGACGAATTACTACGTGAACGGCAAGGGCGGGCGCGAGGTGCTCATCCCGCTAGGGTTCGACTGCTCGTCGGACTTCCACGAGTACACCATCTTCTGGAACAACCAGCAAATCATGTAAGCGAGGTCTTGTGTGAGTGTATTACTGTAGCTGATCTCTGCAAGTTTCATAAGCTGGGGGTTGCTCATTCTGTTAGAGTTCGATTGCTCGTCGGAAGATCATGAGTACACCGTATTCTGGAACAACCAACAGATCATGTAAGAGGGGCCTCAGCGAATCTCATGTTCCGAGGGGTGACGGTTAGGGTTGACTGCTCCTCTGAGCGCATCTCCAACGAATGAGTACACCATCTTTAGGTGACTTTTGAGTCGATCCAAAAGTCTCCTCTTAGCGTATCTCCAACGAATGAGTACACCATCTTTTATAAAAAACCAACCCCACCTGTCTCCCCATCCTCTCGACACACCAGCTGGCAAAAGTAACAGTCACAATTCTTCCCCCCCCCACCCCTTCCCGGCTATCTCCCTGCACTCTCCGCACACCAGCTGGCAGATTGATGGCAAGGCGGTGCGCGTGGCAAAGCACAAGGAGGGAGAGCCGTACCTCGTATGTACACCTAGTGAAGGGAGCAGTATCGATTCATCTTCCCCCCTATCTCTCCCCACGCTCTCTCCACACACCAGCTGGCAGATTGACGGCAAGGTGGTGCGCGTGGCAAAGCGCAAGGAGGGGGAGCCGTACCCCGTGAAGCCCTCGTATGTGTACGCGTCGATATGGGACGCGAGCTACGTGCTCGATGGCCGCTGGTCGGGCGACTGGCGCGGCTGGGACGTGCCTTACATTGGGTGAGTGCTGATTTTGATAATAATGCATTCTCAGTTCCACTTAAAGCCCACGTCTGCACAGACCATTCTCATTCGCACACACATATGAGCATCTTTCGTTGCTTTTGGAGTGCATTGCATCACGCATGTCAACTGGTGTCTTTCCTCTGCTCTTTTGCCTTGTCTGCCATGTATCTATAGCGAGTACGAGGACTTGAAGGTGGTCTCTCCAGCACCCGATGTCTCCTGGTAACCCACACAACACAAGAACACCATTCCACCGGAGCAGGAAAAGCGGGCGGGGAGGCAGGAGGAGCAGACGGAGCATTGCAGAATAATGGCTTGCCTTCTCCGGCCAAGTAAAAGGGAAAGCGACATGCGCTAGAGTGGCCCCGGCCCCACCAACGCTGCACAACACTGGGCCAATAAGGACAGCCAATATAGCCACAAGGTAGTTATGAAGTGGGCTATCCGAAGGGAAGCAATGCATGTAGGAACAGTGTATGTGGAGTGCAGTTTCAAGGCGGCCTTCCTCAGGCTAAGTAGGGCACCTCTGTCTGGTATTGCACTTGGTAGTGTAGCAAGATTGTAGCAATAGTAACTCTTACTTCAATAGCCTAACAGCGAGAAACAAGCATGATCTTATTGAACACACAATCGGCAACATTTGAACTCAGGCTAGCTCGCAGAGCTCGGAACATGAGGCGAGAATTTGGGCTCAGAGCGCACTCAACAAGAACGAAATTGGAAAAGCACACGAACGTGCATGCGGCTCGGGATAGACCACAATGGGTGAACATGGCTCGGACGAACGTAACAGAAAGCATGTTAGCTGCTAAGCATGTTAAAGTGCGTGGCCCAAGTAAGACCAAGACTCAAGGTCTTTGATTCTTGGTCCCGCTCGCCAACTTCGCGAGGTGGGGGCGAAACGACGGGCGAAAGGGAGGCGAAGGGAGGGACTTGGGTTGGCGACACTCGGTGACCATGAAAAGGCATACAGTGTCGAGCACGTGAAGGGGGGGTGGTTCGAAAACACTAAACCCACGGATGCGCCAAACACCTCAAGAACAATTCCCGATAGCCACCAAGCGCAAGGTAGACTCGACAGAGACGAGGAAGGGGGAAAGGAGCTGCGATAAACTATTTCAAACACTAGGCAGTGGCGAGAGAGGGGGAGCGCCGCACAAACTATCCGTAGCGTCGCGGGAACTATGGAATAACAAACCTGCGCCCTGAGTGACAAGGCAGGAGGGGCTCGCACCGCATAAAAACGAGGGGAAAGGGAAGTGGAGACGCGCCTGGAGGCCTGCGCCCAACAGAAGGCGACCGAAGACAGGCGCGCCGAACACGCGCCTGGTAAAACGTGAGAGACGGACGATGGACCCCCGCCACTAGGTCTCGCATCAACTCCCCCGCTCCCTTGCACCAAGCACGCTCCCGTGGCACGGAAACCCCTCCCATCGCGCGGGTTGGGACACGCTCTGCACCGCGCCCCCATCCACACTGTCGTCCGCAAGTCCATGGCACCACACTCCCTCACACCGCACGCCACTCACTCCCGCCTCCAAACGCCAACCCCCACGGCCTCATGCCGTTCTGCTGCGCCACATCCCCGCTGTCTGCACAGCATTACCTCTCATTGCCCCGCTTTCTGAAGGGCCGCACCACTCTCGTACTTGCTGCACCCCACTCTCACGCGCTGCCCTGCACCCTAGCCCGCTGCACCGCCCACAAGCTCTCTGTACCACAGTCCCCAACACAGGGTGCCCCGCCCTCCTGCTGAACCACCGACGGCCCCGCTGCACCTCACTCCCAAGCGGGAAGCCCCCCACTCTCGCCCGGGGAACCGCACCCCCATGAAACGCTCGAGTGGCATGCTCCCTCACGTCGCATCACGGGTCCATCCGCTGCGCTGAGGGACGTTACGCTGCACTGCACAGGCTCCTGCTGAACCACACTCCCTCCCGCTGCACCACACTCTGAGGCACTGCACCACATACCCTCCTGCTGCATGCACGCACCTCACTGCCTTGTCTGCAGCAAGCACACACGCGCCGCACTTCGTAGCCTTGGCTGCTCAAAGCACACACGCACCGCACCTCACTGCCTCGGCTGCTCAAAGCACACACGCACCGCACCTCGCAGCCTTGGCTGCTCAAAGCACACACGCGCCACACCTCGCAACTAGCGCTGCTCAAAGCACACATGCGCCGCACCTCGCAGCCTTGGCTTCTCAAAGCACACACGCGCTGCACCTCGCAGCCATGGCTGCTCAAAGCACACACGTGCCTCACCTCTCAGCCTTGGCTGCTCAAAGCACACACGCGCTGCACCTCGCAGCCTTGGCTGCTCGAAGCACACACGCGCCGCACCTCGCAGCCTTAGATGCTTAAAGCACACATGCGCCGCACCTCGCAGCCTTGGCTGCACCAAGCACACACGCGCCACCTCTCACTACCTTGGCTGCTCAAAGCACACACACGCAGCACCGTACTGCCTTGTCTGCAGCGAGCACACACGCGCAGCACCTCACTGCCTTGTCTGCAGCGAGCACACACGCGCTGCACCTCCCTGCCTTGGCTGCAGCAAGCACACACACGCTGCACCTCCCTGCCTTGGCTGCTCAAAGCACACACGCGCTGCACCTCGCAACCTTGGCTGCTCAAAGCACACACGCGCCGCACCTCGCAGCCTTGGCTGCACAAGGCACACACGCACCGCACCTCGCAGCCTTGGCTGCTCAAAGCCGCGTGGGCCGCACCTCGCAGCCTTGGCTGCTCAATGCACACACCCGCCGCACCTCGCAGCCTAGGCTGCTTCAAGCCGCTTGCGCCGCACCTCGCAGCCTTGGCTGCTCAAAGCACACACGCGCCGCACCTCGCAGCCTTGGATGCTTAAAGCACACATGTGCCGCACCTCGCAGCCTTAGCTGCACCAAGCACACACGCGCCACCTCTCACTACCTTGGCTGCTCAAAGCACACACACGCAGCACCGTACTGCCTTGTCTGCAGCGAGCACACATGCGTAGCACCTCACTGCCTTGTCTGCAGCGAGCACACACGCGCTGCACCTCCCTGCCTTGGCTGCAGCAAGCACACACACGCTGCACCTCGCAGCCTTGGCTGCTCAAAGCACACACGCGCCGCACCTCGCAGCCTTGGCTGCTCAAGGCACCCACGCGCCGCACCTCGCAGCCTTGGCTGCTCAAGGCTCCACCGCGCCGCACCTCGCAGCCTTGGCTGCTCGTATCCGCGCGGGCCGCACCTCGCAGCCTTGGCTGCTCAATGCACACACGCGCCGCACCTCGCAGCCTAGGCTGCTTCAAGCCACTTGGGCCACACCTCGCAGCCTTGGCTGCTCAAAGCACACACACGCCGCAACTCGCAGCCTTGGATACACCAAGCACACACGCGCCACCTCTCACTACGTTGGCTGCTAAAAGCACACACGCGCGGCACCTTACTGCCTTGTCTGCAGCGAGCGCACACGTGCAGCACCTCACTGGCTTGTCTGCAGCGAGCACACACGCACTGCACCTCCCTGCCGTCCCTGCAGCAAGCACACATGCACTGCACCTCCCGGCCTTTGCTGCAGCAAGCACACACGCACTGCACCTCCCTGCGGTCCCTGCAGCAAGCACACACGCACTGCACCTCCTTTGCTGCAGCAAGCACACACGCACTGCATCTCCCTGCTGTCCCTGCAGCAAGCACACACGCACCGCACCTCCCGGTCTTTGCTGCAGCAAGCACACACGCACTGCACCTCCCTGCCATTTCTGCAGCAAGCACACACGCACTGCACCTCCCTGCCGTTTCTGCAGCAAGCCCAATAGGTGTGGCTGTTTGGCATGGCTGAGAGGTGAGGCAATTTGGCATGGCTGGGAGGTGTGGCTGCTTGGCATGCCTGATATGTGTGGCTGTTCAACATGCCTTATAGGTGCGGCTGTTTGGCACGCCTGACATGTGCAGCGCATTTTCTCTGTATGGCCTGCCTGACATGTGCAGCTACTTGGCATGCCTGACATATGCAACTGCTTGGCATGCCTGACATGTGCAGCTGCATGGCATGCCTGACATGTTCAGCTGCTTGGCATGCCTGACATGTGCCTATGCTTGGCATGCCTGTCATGTGCAGCTGCTTGGCATGCCTTACATATGCAACTTCTTGGCATGCCCGACATGTGCAGCTGCTTGGCATGCCTGACATATGCAACTGCTTGGCATGCCTGACATGTGCAGCTACTTGGCATGCCTGACATATGCAACTGCTTGGCATGCCTGACATGTGCAGTTGCATGGCATGCCTGACATGTGCAGCTGCTTGGCATGCCTGACATATGCAACTGCTTGGCAAGCCCGACATGTGCAGCTGCTTGGCATGCCTGACATATGCAACTGCTTGGCATGCCTGACATGTGCAGCTACTTGGCATGCCTGACATGTGCAACTTCTTGGCATGCCTGACATGTGCAGCTACTTGGCATGCCTGACATATGCAACTGCTTGGCATGCCTGACATTTTCATGCAGCTGCATGGCATCGCATGCCTGACAATCATGCTGCAGCTGACATGTGCAGCTGCTTGGCATGCCTGCATATGCAACTGCTTGGCATGCCCACATGTGCAGCTGCTTGGCATGCCTGACATATGCAACTGCCTTGCATGCCCGACATGTGCAGCTGCTTGGCATGCCTGACATGTGCAGCTACTTGGCATGCCTGACATATGCAACTGCTTCGCATGCCTGACGTGTGCAGCTGCATGGCATGCCTGACATGGGCAGCTGCTTGGCATGCCTGATAGGCGTGGTGGTTTGGCATGGCAGAGCGGTCCCACTGCTTGGCATGCCTGGTAGCTATGGCTGTTTGGCATGCCTGACATATGCAACCGTATTTGGCATGCTTGATAGGTGTTGCCTTTTGCTGACGGAGGGGGTGGGCTTGTCGGCGCGGCTGCTGCCCGCTGCTCAGGGGGTGCAACTGATTCGTGGGGCTGGTGGGTGTGGCCTCCTTGTTTACGTTGGAAGGTGTCGCTGATGGGTGTGCGTGCTGGGTTCCCCCACTGGCCCTTTCGGTCACCTCCTAGGCCTCACCCCACCTGCCACTCTTGTAACCCCCCCCTCTTCTCACAACTTCTCCTCCCTCACCATCTTTTGACCTGCATCCGCCTCTCAGACACGCCCTAAAGTGTTGCAGATTCCTTACACCCTCCCGCCCAACCATGTTTCGTGGTGCAATTGCACAGGTCGGTGTGGCACTGCGACCGCTTACCCCTTATCCCCCATACGCATCCACGTGGTGATTGTGTCCCACGAAGCTCAGCCCGTGACAGTTATCAATTTGTAACCTATTTATTGTGTGGTACCGTAACCGACCTCCCTGCACACCCTTGGGCCTTGGGCACCGCCCCTGTTGCCGGTTATTCTCCTGAAGTCCCTTGCATCCCGAGTATCTTGTTTGTGTATGTTGGGCTGAGAAAAATTGTAGAATCCAGCTGAAGGGTGGTTTATCGAGTCGCATAGCGACTCGATTGTCGCTTCGGTTACCATTCTTGCAGTTGTAACGGTCAGTCGCAGCCTCCGATTGCGACCCTTCGTGTTCTTTGTCCATCCCCTCGTGTAACCTCCGTTGACTCGCGTACCCGTTACGATCT